GACCTAAGTAACACCCAGAACTATGGAGAAAATATATATATATATTCATAACATTTATATTTTTATATAATATATATCATACATTATATATTTCGGAAATAAAATCGGATCGGAAATCGGAATTTCCAATAATTTTATATGTAATTCCAATTCCATTCCAAAAATAATCGGAAGAATCGGAAATCGGAATGAAAAAACGGGTTCCAAATTCGGATATTTTCGGATTGGAATTGGCGGAATTCGGAAATTCCGTTCCAATTTCCACCCCTAATCAAATTACGAAAAAAACTCCTCTTGTCTGGATAACTACATCTACCCATCATCTATGAATCTTCTTACACATTCACCCTTATGGTGTCAAATTCAACGGAATCATCTAGATTCGGTGAAATGTGCTCTAGTTTGTACTCGTTTTGTGTAAAAATATAGTTTCTAATGTACCACAATCTTATATTTACAAGCCAAAACATACATGTTATGATCATCTTGCGTCAAAATATGGAGCTCGAATGAGATAAAACGGGTATGAAAGTGATAATATCCCATATAATCAAGAAGATTCCACTAAATTTGAAACTGCAAGAGTGGACATGTAAGAAAATTTATAGTTGAGCGGTTGTTTTAAATTGTAATTACACAAATAGTAGGGGGGGTGTTCGTAATATTATCATACCTCAGGGGTGGTTGTAATTTAGCCATATTTTTAATATCGCGATTAATAATTATTAATTACAATGGTGCCCGCAAATTAGCGCCGGTGCCCCAATTTAGCAATTTTAGAGAGAGAAAGAAGAGAGAGAATGGGGAGTTCATCACCGGAGGACTTCTCCGTGTTGGTTCTGGCGTCGGATCTGGGCATCGACGCGCGGCCCTTCTTGTCGCAGCGGCCGCCGGAAGAAGAGAATTGGCACGACTGCAGGTCCTATCTTCCTTCCGCCGACGACCAAAACCTAGATTTCTCCGACCTCGACGTCCTTCAGTTCTTCCGCCTCGAAAGTGGTTCCGATAAGTCCGGCAACCGTATCTTCCGCGTTGTCGGAAAGTATTTCCCAGGTAATTTTCACTACTGTAACTATCAGCATGAGAATTTACAGATCTTAGGGTTTTAGGATTTTGATATATTGCATGGGCAATTTAACTGAATTGGATTAGGGTTTGCTCTGTTAGCTCCGGTACAGTGTAATTGCAATTTTTAAGGGTAAATTGTCTCTGATGAGTGACTTTATCTTTGACAAGTTTACATTGTTTCGTTTCGTTGCTTATGTTATTGTGATCATTTTTTTGTGTAATTCAGCTCCTGTTGTCAGTGGAGAAAGGCTGAAAAAGTACGTCTTCCACAAGATTTTGAGTGAGATGCCAGAAGGGCCATTCTGTATTGTATACATCCATAGTACTGCCCAGAAAGAGGACAACTCCCCTGGCATTACAATACTTAGATGGATATATGAAGAGCTACCCGATGACTACAAAGATAGGCTTAGTGTCGTGTACTTCATTCATCCAGGACTCAGATCAAGACTAGTCTTCGCCACTCTTGGCAGATTCCTTTTAAGTGGAAGGTGATTTGCTTTTTTAGTTTCAAGACTGGTCTGAATAACATTCACTTCATAACTGTTTGCTCGTTATTTGTTCGAGAAAATCTTTTGAAGTGCTTAGCTCTATTAATTGCTTTGCTAAAAAAATGAGTTTTGTGATTACTCTTCCCAAATCTGAAATGCATTATTTGGCTACAACTTCTGCTAAAATATTGTTTGTAGATGTATATCTGTTGTTGTGGTACTATTAAATACGAAGTACTGATGATGTTTCATTTTTTTTTTTTTACATAAAATTGTAGCTTATACTGGAAAATCAAATATGTGAGCCGCCTACAATATTTGTGGCAAGATATAAAGAAAGGGGAGGTTGAGATTCCTGAATTTGTTCGACAGCACGACGATATCCTAGAGCACAGACCGCTCACAGACTATGGCATTGAACCAGATCCTTTGCATTTGGTGGAGGTTCCAGCTACAGCCTATTCGTATGGAAGGTATGAATCTGGGTGGGGAGCAAGAGAGTCCAGGTATTAGCTGGTTCTGCTTCGTTATGTATTATATATTTGGTTTTGTCTCATATAATACAGTCCACAGACATATATTGTGTGTAAATGTTTATGCACTAATTGTACTATAATACTATGTGGGCTTGGATTGCTCTTATCTCATGCCCCGACTACCTTTTCATTTGTGTTGCGATACAGTAGTGGATATCAGTTGGGATTGACCGATCGGAATCATAATATATTTAGGCGAAGAAAAAAAAGTAGTAATATAAGTTTACATCTGAAAGCCAACGAGAAAACGTTGCACACTGAATAAAAATTTACACCAAATTAACTAATAGATGTGATTGAGTTGCTTAATGTTGATGTTTAATCAAAGCACACTTCACAAAGCCAGCAGCAGCATAGGGCGAAGAGGCTGCAGAAACAGAGCAAAATCTGGAGTCAGTAGAAAGTCCATACTCCGGAAGAATACTCATGATGGAAGTTGGCATTTCGTAACGAGTTCATTAATTAGGTAAATGATTGTTGTGTTAACTATTTATTTTAATGTTTTTTGTATTTATGTATGAATATGAAGTAAAAAAGAATCCTTACCATCCCTCGATGAAGCCTCTATCTCCTTTTGCCTTTGTTCTTGGCAAACATTTCATTCTCTTTTTCCCACTTGGAGGAGGATTCTCACTTGGGTAACCTGCACTTCAAAATATTTATTCAACAAGTCTATTTGTGTGTGTGTGTGTGTGTGTGTGTGTGCTCTAGAGAGAGAGAGAGAGAGAGAGAGAGAGAGAGAGACCTGGAGGAGGGTGGTTGGCTTGGTTTTGCATTTTGGAAGAACAGCACAAAGGTACAGTAGTCTACAAGAGAAACACTGTTGGCAAAAACAGTATATAATGCTTTATTAAGAAAGGCAGGTACACATATTTATATAGGGGCAAAAAAGAAGTTGCTTACAAAGTGTTGAGGAATAAACTTGTTGGTTGATTAGAGTTTGCTTGCACCATTATTTTTGGATTAACCAACGGTACACATGCTGATTCTTGATTGGTTGAACTACGATAAACCACGTGTTATTACGATGTATTAGTCGATAATGGCCAGATTACGTGATAACCTTTACCTAGTCTGGATTATTCTTGAAATGAACCTTGTATACTACATTCTTGAATATTTTACTTTGTAGTGTGAATGGAACAACGTGCAATATCAATCTTCTATAAGCCTTTATTCACTGCTTTTACTTTGATTCGTTGCTTCGTTATCAACATGGTAGGCAAAAGTTGAAGTCTTTACACACCCACAGTTTTGTGTTTATTTCTCCTCATAATTGGGAATTCACATTAAAGAAGTGGAACGAATATATGCCCTGATCGCGTATTGAACAATAAACACGGAATTAAATTATTAATTATTTGATTTTGGCCCATTCAACAATGATGTATCTCTGAATAATCAAGTTTTTATTGGGCTTTTGTCCAAAATAAATTCTTATTGGGCTTGTGGCTTGATTTAGTGATGTCGTAGAAGCCCAATAAAATAATATTGGGCCTATATTGTGCTTTAAAAAATAGTGGTCCAACTATTGCGCCTAAAAATACATTGGGTTTAAAAAAATTATTTTTATTTTTATTTTTATTTTTATCTCTAATTTTCAGATAATAAATTCTTAATAATTTCAGATTTGATTTCGAAAACAAAATGAATTAATCTGATCCATCCGATATCACAACTTATTCAATCACGATTGGCTGGTTTTAAATTTTCACACGTGCCAAGAACAGGGTTGGGGAGGGAGGGGGGGTGGTTACCTTGTTTTCATTCAAAGCTAGCAGAAAAAGGTGATACACATAATTGTTACAACAGATTACACATTTCATCAAAAAGAGATAAAATTAAACAATGAGTTTCTATGGTATAATCCACTTCTACAGAAAAAAATAAAAATAAAAATTGAAAAAATAGAAAGAAAGTTGTATCTAAAAATATACAAGTTCATGAATATATAAGCAATGAAATATGTTAGAAGTACTCACACTTAGCCTTTCGTTTACAAAAAGTTGAACCTGGAATCGAGATCACGGACAGGGGAGAGAAGTTTCAATCCTTACTCCCATACGAGGCCTTAGAGGATAGCCCAAAACTTCTTTCTGCAAAATAATACGGACTCCATTCTTTTCTGATCATCTTCCAGAAAATGCAACTGAGTTTCCCAAAGAAACTTCGGAGCAAGATCCACTATTCTTGAAATAACACTATCATCTTCCCCTCTAATAATAATATACCCCTGTACATACATAAATATAACCAAATTATATTTCTTTGGATTTCAACATAGAGAATTCATCGATAGCAAAGATGGGAGTATAAATATTCACCTGGGGTCTTAATATACGGTCCATTTCAAGCATGATATCCTCTTGTAAGCAACCGTCTTCACGGTTTTTATAGTTAGAAAATAATTTATTGGCATGTAACAGATCATATGTGCGTGGATATGTCGAAAATGGCTCACACCTGCAATGTTTTTACCAGTACAAATCTTGAATACCATGCTCATCAATTAATGGGGCTTATAAAAATAAAATAATCAAACATCGGTTTATCTTCTTACCAGTCATGAAAAGCACCTAGCAAACCCCTGTCGTAAATAGCAGATAAGGTATTGTTCATGCTTACAGGAACTGCATTCATAACCCATACGGGCCATGTGCTCAAAGCCACCGAAAATCCACCGAGAAAAGCATTCATATCCATCACATTTCGTACTTCTTTCTCTTCAACATTCATCAATCTCCAATAGTGACGAACTTGATCTTGCCAGTATATCGTATCTGATAAGAACTTTTCTCGATTTATACCTGAAACAATTACTTAGATTATTTTATAACGAATGATATACTCCACCATTATTTTAAAGAAATAAGCATAATTAGGCTACCTAGCTTAATTAGACTCTGGGAATATTCTGAGAGACGCTGTGGCTTTGGAGGGAGTTTCAGCGAAACACGTTCTGCTATACAGTTCCTTAATGGTGTCTTAAAAGATGGGTTAAAATCGTCTGTGGAATCGCATATAGTGATAAACTTCTGTTCTGCATTTTGGTTGAGACATGAGTTGTCATCTGTCTTAATCCAGATTGCTGTTTGAACTTTTCGGGCAATGAGTTTCCAGCACATTGCAGAAGTTAGATTCGTCAATTTATCCCAAATCAACGGAAAATCTTTGTCTTTTCTGTAAGCAGGAGGAGCTGAATATATAAAATATCCATTTGGTCTCAATAGGCGGTCCACTTCTTTTATCAAAATTCCATCTGCATCCAAAACATAAAGAATCAATATAGTATTCTCTTCGAAGTATGATGGCGAAAATTCTTCTCACACACAAACACACAAAAAAAAAAAGTAAGCTAGTCTACTTAAAGGCTTAAAACATTCTGAAAAAAAAAATCACCATAAACACAGCTGATATACTTGAGAGTGAAATTATGTAATTAACAATTAAAAAAAAAAAAAAACTTAACCATTCTCATGCCAATCAACACGACATCTGGAACAATGGACCATCTCAAAGGAGTTACTAGGGTACGGTAACTGTTTTGTGGATAAAGAAGAAATCATGGCTCCGATTCCTCTTTCTAAAGCAAATTGGATTTGGTTTTCATGACCGTCTTTTGGAGCAAAAGACATAGTCTGTATATTAAAGGGAAGAAGATAGGCTGAGAAGCTAGCTACTCCACAACCAACGTCAAGAACTTGAAATACCCCGGCAGAATGAAGATCACCAGTTTCATTAGTTGTCATATTTCCTAACCTGCAGAAGCAGAAATAAATAAGATTTATTACATTGTAATAATCAAGATTTCCAGTATAAAAAATAAAATCAAAAGTACAAAAAAATCAGAAGTACCTCTGAATATACTCAGAAGCTCCGTTCTTGAAATGCGTACCTCCACCAGGAAACCACCATAGCTGATCCTTATCGTGCACCCAATTTTGCCCACCTTTAACTTCGGCGAGATGTGTATGGTTTACATTACTCCGCCAAACGTAGTCCCTACTTGTGGGCCATCTTATAGGTATCTTATAGTCAGTTGGTGGTGGGACCAAACAGAACAAGCGTCTTTGGACAGGGGCGCAATGCCTCTCAAGCTCCTCTCTTCTTGAAAGATCTAATTTCGACATTAGCTCGTTGATGTAAGAAATGTCATGGCATGGAATGTATTCGTTATACGTCAACGGGCATATATTGATCCCTGTTTCTGGGATACTAAGTGGTATTGTCCGATAAGTAAGACTAACTTTATTTGAAAATGCACCTGCAAGCATAAGATACCACATATTTAATCACAAATGCATGCATTTGAAGCATTACGTTTGGCTGCAGCATATTCAAGATGGACTGGTCTCAAATGCAGAATTAATGCATCTTAAGCCTCAAACTCAATTAGATATTTGTGGTATCCAGAATTCATATTAAATTCTATGTTGTCTATGAACTATTTTTCCACAAGACCAAAAACACGAGAGTAATCAAGGTGTATACGATTAAATCATAAATTTAACAATCGGAATCAATGCAGTTCCACCATTTGTCGAATAAAGCAAGCCCTAAATTAACCTTCTTCATGCTACATAACTGGGGTAAAATACCTTTCCCCTTAAAATTTAGAAACTAAGCCTTCGGTATTGAGCTCAGAATTACAAGAATTCTAATCTCATCCTACTACTATCCTAGAAACCCATTTCCCGGATAAAAAATTGTCAATAATATTTGAATATCTCTAATCAACTAATTAAAAGAAGTGTTGTTTTCTAATGTCACAGGCATTATTAAAAGCATGAATCAGCATTAATAATTGGTTTCAAAACCGCTGCTAATATCCTAAAAACCCATCTCCCAGCCAAAATTTCTGGAGATTCGAACTTCTCAGATCAACAATGTGTTGGTTTGCAATTTCATACACTAAAAAACACGAAACTAGAATCGAAAAATTCGCAACTGGAATCTCTACACAATTGACAAGTCTTAGTTAGAGAATGAATTACTAATCCAAAATGTATGATATTTAAACAGACACACAACACTGACCGGAAGCTGATGCTGAATCATTGGCAGAGGGGTTTTCAATTTGTTGTGCGTTTTGCTGCTGTGGTGTGGTGTAGAGGAAAGAAGAATTCCTGGCGAAGAGAGTGCCCGTGTAGAAGGAAGCTATCATCACTAAAAGCGCCGCCGTTATAAGCTGGCCCGTTTTCCAATCGAATGCTCTCATGTTTATAATCCCCATCACTTCTCTCAGCTTCAATACGCCGCCGTATGTATCGATCAATGCTCGCACATTGTTGCAGTGAGGCGGTGGATCGACGGATCTGTCGCAGTGTCGGTGAATTGACAGTGGTGTAAGGTGTTTGTGTTATTGTCTCAGAGAGATAGAGAGAGAGGGAGAGAGAGAGAAAGAGATGACGATTGTCTCTGTAATTTAATTTAATTTAGATTTAGATTTAATTTCATTTTTGCTCATTTAACGATTACGGAATGTCTCCCTTCTCTCTCTTAAATCAAGATTTACATTTTCTTTTTGCTTTAAAACTAAGGAATGTTTTATTTAAGGGATGTGATAAATGTCGTTCGAGCTTTAATAATACTGTTACGACTTTAAATGGGATTTTGATCATTCTTAATTCCAAATTTTGCAAAACCCAAAAAATAGAATTTGTAGTATTCTAAGTTAGTTTTCTAATCCAACTTGAATCATCAAAATTGGATGTCGGACGAGAAAGATATACATGAATCAATGGATATTGCCCACAACTTTGATGTATTGAGGTATCTAAAATTCAAAATTTGACTCATACATGCATAACTTTGTCATACGGCATCCAATCGAGCGGATTTAAGTTGGATTAGAAAACTAACCCAAAGGGCTACAGTTTTCGTGCTTCGAATTTTACCAAAATCAAAATAAAAATATTTCAAAATCAAGTTCGAAGTCAAAACGACATTAGCAAAATTGAAACGACATTTAACATTTCAGTTTATTTAATTCAACTTTATTTAAGCTTTATATTTCATTCGGTTTTCATCCCTCAAGTTTGCGTTGATCCCCATTTTAACAAAAAATATTTTTGATCCCTCATGTTTCAATAATTTAACATTTTTGATCATTTTCGTCAATTTATCGTTACTCCGTCAGTTAAAAAATTGATGGGCACACACTTGATTCCGTTATTACTAGCAGAAAATGACTAAAAATATTGATTTTTTGAAACATGAGGGACTAAATGTATATTTTATAAACACGAGGGACCAAATGTGATGCAAACTTGAGGGACCAAAACTGTATTTTCCCACTAATTAACTAATTAGCTAGTAAATAAAAAATCCACACAATCCAATCTAAATCATATTAAAAAAAAATCATAGATGTTTACATGTGACCTCCTAATGAATTAATCATAGAAAATTGCATTAACCAAAAGCAACTTGCTAAAAAAAAAAGGAGCAAAATAAATCAGTCAACATCTACAAAAGCAGTACAGTCAATATCTTGCAAAGACAATCTCCCCAAGTACAGCTCACTTATGTGGTAAGAACACAAAGGTGCACATTTCCTATGCAAACTGTCATGAATTGCACCCATTTGCGGAACCCAATTCGCCTCATCCGACGTGTCCAAACCGAGATGCTTCTGCAATAACCGAATCCTGTAAACAACCGTATCGCTTCTGCTGCAAAAATGGGCAATGCAAATATGAGAAGGTTCAATCGTAGCCAATCGAATCAAAGCCATAGTCAAACATCCATCGACCGGCTTAGGATCCGAAAGATTCCCTTCTCCCATCATTTTGACCTCTCTTTCCGAAGGAAAGTTCACTTCTTCGCCGCAAACTTTTAAATCCTTTGTGAAATGCCTTATAACTTCACTCTTGGTTGCTTCGTGTTTTTCCGATAAAGTTAGTAAACACGAGAACCGAAGATGGTAGCTAACGATTATTTTGACCTTTCGAAAGTTGTGACAGCAGCGAAAGAAATCGAGCCATCTTTTTCCTATACCGGCGTACCATTTTATAATGTCCACATCTTCAAGAACCGTGAGCAAACTGATGGGTCGCGGGCGACCCATTTGATTGGTAAATCCGACCGTTTTGACGGCTTTTCGAATAAGTTCGATTGGTGCTTCGACTTTGATGCACCGTTTTGTCAAATCCTCGACGGTTTTTTTAGCGTATTTTTCTTCCTCCTCTTCTTCTCTTCTTCTCGATTCTTCCTCCAGTTCCCTCTTTGCCTTCGCGGGCTTCAAATGCTTGTTGACTTGTTCTTGAAAGTTGTCGTACGAGTCAACGAGCTCTTGTGGAAGCTGATCTCGTATTCTGCCCAATGAGAGAAAATCTCCGGCTGATAAACTCCGGTGCCATTCCCATCGGTCATCCACGGATTTCAAGAACTCGTTGACCACCTCATCACCCCAAGAACTGAAAATTTGTCTCACTTCGTTCTCAATTTGGAAGTCAAATTTGAACCCATTGCTTTGTTTCGATTTCTTGAAAACGTGACTTAACAACTTCATTCCCAACTTCTTCCTATTTCTCTCTTTTGCATTTTTCAGCTCCAAAAGTCGGACTTCTTTCTGACGAAGATACTTTTTACGTGCCCTTATTGCTTTATCTGTCATTGGTGGTCGGAGAATCGAAGGTGCAACTGCCTGTAGCTCCATTCCCATGAAATCGATCTTTTCGGAAACCGCACTGTGAATTGCTGTTCTTGTTCTATCCACCTTCAAATCCAAATCTTGTTCAAGAAACTTCACTACCCTATTCTTCAAATCCATCGTCAATATCTTCGTTCCTGATGTGATAATCAATATCTCGTTCAAGTACCGGACGGCGTAAATCTTCAAGGGCTTATGAAAAACCGAGCCCGAATTCGAATTCGATAATCCCGGGATGAGTTCATTTTTATCGAACTTTGGATTCGCTTTGTTCGTTTTCAGACGCGATTCTTGAATTTCCTTATCGAACCCATTAAAGTAAACATTAATCAAGATTGAACTCAGAGCAGATTCTTGAGGAAGTCCTCTACCTAAACAAAATCCATCTAGATTAATAGTAACCACCTTGCATTCGAACAACCTTCTTATTAAATCAAGCAAATCGTTGTCTTCGATTTTCTCTCCAAGCATCAAACACAGCTTATCGATATGCCTAGACCCAAACAATTCCTTATCGAATTTAACACTAAACCACCAAGTCGGATTTTCGACCGAATTCTTCAGATACCGAACCGCGGTGTGGCGGCCCATGTTCGCACGGCCGCCGTAGGAAAATGTGGCAAACCTATCATCATAAATAAGTTCGAGTACAATCCTAATAGCTTCGAGTACAACTTTAAGCTTCAGATTGGGTAAGATAAGCGGTGTACCTCTGTTTCCTTCCGGGAAAATCGGAACGCAGCACGATTCGACGTCGAAGGAATTCCTGTAGAGCTGAAAGGAGAGTTCTTGGAGGGGAAAAAAGTGAGTTGACACCGAGTCAAGAGTGAGCGGTGGCGGCGGCGAGTCAGGGGCATGATTTCTGAGGTTGTGGCAAGCGGTCAGGAGGAGGGAGGGTGAAGCGACGGCGTTTTGGAGGAGGCTGTAGAATTTGCCGCTGCGATAGAAGGAGAGGACAAGGGACTGGAGGGCTGGTTTTGCAAGAGGTTCGGGATCGGCAGATGTGTACGGCTGAGGGTGGCGGAGGGTGGAGAAGAGGGCTGAGGGATTGATCCAGAGAGGTAAATTTGCGGCGGCGGAGATGGTGGATTTGGGTTTTCTGAGAAGGGTGGTTATGAGCATTTGGGGAAGACGAGGTGGGCGTGCACTGCAACTGTTTGATGATGTGCCGGAGAAGAACAAAAGTTTAATTGCAAATAGAAGCACTAATTTTATTTATTTATTATTTAATCCTCAACATTATCCTCTAAACACAAATTAATTAGCAGAAAACCAACCCTCATTAGGAGAGTTGATACCTAGCCTTTATCAATAGGGTAACGGTCTAGGGTTCGAGTCCCCCCTCCCCTACTTTCCCTTGTAATTGACTTGAATTTTCTCAAAAAAAAAAAAATTAGCAGAATTGAATCGAAATACTTCAAAAATCAACCGTTAATCAAAGGTTGTTTAATGGATAGTCACTAAAATTAATAATGATTTTAGAATAATATTTTTTCTTTTTGAATTTCGAAAGTTTTGATTTTCCAGGGAAATTCACATTTTCCATCCCTCAACTTTGCACATAATTCACATTTGGTCCCTTATGCTAATAAAAAAAACATTTGGTCCTCCATGTTTCAATAATTTAACATTTTTGGTTATTTCCGTTAATTTATCGTTAGTCTGTTAGTTAAGTCATTGATTGGCACACGCTTGACGTAAAATTGATCGAAACGACTAAAAATGTTGAATTTTCGAAACATGAGGGACCAAATGTGTGTTTGGTGAACATGTGGGACCAAATGTGAAATCGGTACTAATTGAGGGACAAAAACCTATATTTTTCCCTATTTCCCACTTTTCCAAATGCTCTATGAACATCATCTATATAATATATAAAAGTTGAATTCCATAGCTAATTGATTGACATTTGGCAATTTCAATTTGTGACATGTCCTCAATTTCATCCCATGTGGCTAATTGATTGGTGGAAATAAATCATGAAAAAACATGTCATCATTTTCCAAAATTTAAGGTAATTAAATATATTTAATTATTTTATTAATATATTTATATCCTACCGTTTATAAAATGCTCTAAATATATCAACTTTCTTGGAAACTCTAAATAAATTTATTTTTGAATTTAATTTTATAATTAATTTAATTTGAATTTAGTTAAATTCGATTTAAAATTTTCCCTTATTATAATTGCATGATTGGTGGTGTTACAAAAGTTTTTATTTTTATTCATAAACTTGGATTTATAATATTAAAAAAAAATTATTGCAGAATAAATTATTTGATATTGTACATTTTACATGAACATGACTAGAGAATATGTATTTTTTTTTACAAATTTAATATTATATATTAATATTATCTGTAAAAAAGAAAGATACATGTTTGAATTTACTATTTTGCGAAAATTGACACTATTTGGTATGCCATGTGTAGAGTAATGTACTCACAATTATTTATCATATTGAAAATTATACTATATGAATTTCATGTTATTATTTAAACAATTTTTTTTTTCATTGAATCCAATGACAATAAATTTAACGATTGATTTAACTTTTTAAATTATATACTAATTAAAATACACATTTTATCATGATTATACTAATAAATTGAATAACCTAAGTTAAATTTTAATCAATTGATAAAAAAAACGAATTGATTTTATATATTTCAAAATATAATAATGTTATTCTAAATCTTTGGTATTAAATTCGTTTATCTACTTTATTTAATACCTAACATTAAGAATATTAATTGTTTTGTTTAAAATGTATAATGATCGTAAATACTATATATTGTATTACACTAATAAGTGTTTCATTATAACTCTAAGAAATATAATTAAGTAAATATCTAGAGCAACTCCAACCCAGAAGTATCAAAACGAGTTTGCAAATATTTATGTGGTATTTAATATTTTATTTTGATATTTATCTAAATGTATTTGCTCCAACTATAGGTATTAAATAGTTGTTAATTAAATATATCTAATTGCCACATGTTATTTTATAAATGGACACTGATTGCATAATGTATTTTTACATTTTGAAAGATGAAATATCAAAATATCTCATTTCATAATTGTATTAGTATTAAAAATTACTATTTTGGAGTATGAAAATGGTGGTTAAATGTTTTGATAGCTCATTTAATAATCTCACTCGAAGTGCTCTTACCGTAAATAGTTTATATTAATAATTCCCCTAATGTTTGTTTCCGTCTTACATCGACCCCCTTATGGTATGATTTTTCAAGGAATTTTTTTTATTAAGTTGTATATTCCTCTAATGCTTATTATACCCTGCACACACAACATTTCTTTATTGTACTTTTTAAAGACAAAAATTACCCTCAGGTTACTTTACACGAAATCTTTATTCTTCTTAGATAACACGGTCACAAATTTTTATTATTACCATGACTACCCCTGAGGGTAATTTTTTAGTTTAAAAAGTACGATAAAAGAAATATCACGTCTGCAAGGGTAGACTCCATATTTTTTTGGGACATTACATGGAATAAAAAAGATTCCATAAAAAATCACACCATAAGGGGGTCGTGTAAGACAGATACAAACATTAGGGGGATTTTGGTAATCACCGATAAGTGGGGGTGTTTCCTGTAATTTAGCCTAAGTTCAGGAGGATTTTCATAATTTATCTTATTAACAATGATTATTGTTCTGTTACGTCTTAACGTTTACTTATACCCTTATAATATTTTAAATAATTTTAATGTCAGTTTGATAATATAATTAAATATTAATTTCTAATATATTTAATATGTGTTTTTTTATGGTTCAGCTACCACACTTAAAAAAATTGATATAGAGGTTTAAGATTGAATAGAATTGTTTTTTTATACTAAATAATAGATTATTGCAAAAAAAAAAAAAATTGTTAAATCAGAATTTGTGATTAATATTAGTATTAGAATTATAATTATAATTAAGATTCTTTGAATTAGTATTAGTATTAATACTAGAAATATGATTCAGATAGTAATTAGGATTAATATAACATTAGGATTATGATTAATATTAGTATTAGAATTATAATTAAAATTATACTTATGCGATAATTAGTGACATGCATTAGTATTAGGATCTATATAATATATAAAAGTTGAATTCCACCCTCAATTGATTGACATTTGGCAATTTTAATTGATGACATGTATTCAATTTCATCTCACGTGGCAAATTGATTGGTGAAAATAAATCATCAAAAAACATGTCATCATTTCCAAAATTAAAGGTAATTGTAGGATAAAAGAAATGTCACGTCTGCAAGGGTAAAATCCACATTTTTTTGGGATATTACATGGAATAAAAAAGATTCGGTAAAAAAATCACACCATAAGGGGGGTCGTGTAAGGCATAAACAAAAATCAGGGGGGATTTTGGTAATTACCGATAAGTGGGGGTGTTTTCCGTAATTTAGCCCAAGTTTAGGATGATTTTCGTAATTTATCCTATTAACAACTATTATTGTTCTTTTTACATCTTAACGTTTGTTTATACCCTTATAATATTTTAAATAACTTTAATGTCAGTTTGATAATATAGTTAAATATTAATTTCTAATATCTTTAATATATGTTTTTTGATGTTTCAGCTACCACACATAAGGAATTTGATATAAAGGTTGCGATATTGAATATAATTGTTTTTTATACAAAATAATAGATCATTGCAAAAAACATTGATGCAAAATCAGAATTAGAATTGTGATTAATATTAGCATTAGAACTAGGATTATAATTAATATTCTTTGAATTAGTATTAGTAATAATACTAGGATTATGATTCGGATTAATATAGTATTATAATTAATATTAGGATTAGGATTACGATTAACATTAGAATTAGGACTATGATTAGAACTAAGATTAAAATTATAATTATAATTAACATTAGCATTAGCATTAGCATTATTAATATTAAAACTATTAGGCTTAGGATTAGAATTATAATTAGTGATAGGAATAAGATTATGATTAGGATTAGAATCATGATTAGTGTTATGAATAGGATTAGGAATAGGATTACAATTATAATTAGCATTATCATATCCAGATTAGCATTAACATTAAAATTAGTATTAGGATTAGTACCTGTACATTAGCATTAACATTAACAATATTAACATATTAGTATTAGGATTAATTAGTACATGTACATTAGAATTAACATTAACCATATTAACATATTAGTATTATTAATAGTATTAGTATTAATATTAGTATTAGTATTATTATTAGTATTAGTATTAGTATTAGAATTAGTATTAGTTTAGTATTAGTATTAGTGTTAGTATTAGTATTAGTATTAATATTAATATTAGTATTAGTATTAGTATTAGTATTAGTATTTGTATTTGGTATTTGTATTAGTATTAGTATTAATATTAGTATTAGTATTAGTATTAATATTATTATTAGTATTAATAATAATATTAATATCAGTATCGGTATCAGTATCATGTATCAGTATCAGTATTATATCAATATCGGTATCTGTATCGATATCGATATCAGTATATGTATCAGTATCAGTATCATTTTTAGTATTAGTATTATTATCAGTCTCGGTATCAGTATGAGTGTTAGTATGAGTATCAGTATTAGTATGAGTATCAATATTAATATTAGTATTAATATTAAGTTATACTATGAGTATCAGTATTAATATCAGTATCAGTATCAATATCAATATCAGTATATGTACCAATATCAGTATTATTATTAATATAAGTATCAATATCAGTATGAGTATCAGTATAATTATCAATATCATTATCAGTATGTGTATCGGTATCGGTATCAGTATCGATATCAGTATCAGTATCAATATCGAATCAATATCGGTATCGGTATCAGTATCAGTATCGGTATCAGTATCAGCATTAATATCGGTATTAGTATCGGTATAAGTATCGGTATTAGTATCAGTATTAGTATTAATATTAATATTAGTATTAGTATTAATATTAATATTAGTATTAGTATTAGTATTAGTATTAGTATCAGTATTAGTATTAGTATTAGCATTAGTGTTTGTAGGATTACGATTACTAATAGTATTAATATTAGTATTAGTATCAGTATTAGTGTTATATTAGTATTAGTATTAATATTAACATTAGTATTAGTATTAGTATTAGTATTAGTGTTAGTGTTAGTGTCAGTATTAGTGTTTGTATTAATATTAGTATTAATTTCAGTATGAGTATCAGGTTAGTATCGATATTCGTATCGGTATTAGTATCAGAGTTGGTATTGGTATCAATATTGTTATCAGTATTGGTATCATTATTGGTAGTGGCTTATACATCGTATCTATTTTGCAATATTTATAAGTTGTATTGTTGTTTGAGTAATGAACATCACTAATTGAATGGTGTTAGCGATAAACTTGCAGGTTATTTGAATATCTATTGAGTTACTTCTTTGCTACCGTATTTGTTGTTAAGTTAGTTATTTTGCAGAAGATTAACATGGTATAGTAGATTGCATTCCATGAAATATAGTTATACCATATGTTTCAAATGATTTTACTTAATCTTCATATCGTGTTTTGCGCGCTTCATGTTTTCTTCTTTGTAATATTTAATTGAATTTCATTTGTTACAATTTTGAATTAAGAGATAAATTTTATGTTTTTTTATTTCCTTCCATTTTGTTTTACTTGAATTGGTGTTGTTATAAAGAGATAGTTTTTTACATATTATTATTTTTCTCAATTTGAAGCTGACATCCGTGCAACGCACGGGTGAAATACTAGTTTGAATATAAACCGGATTCCGATTTCTGATCCAATTTTAATTTCCGAAAATATTTCATCTTCCCAAAATTAGACATGGAAAATCGTTGGGCCTTATAATCAACTTGCCCCCTCTCATGTTTATTTATTTTGGGCCTTATATATTATACCCGATTTATTAATAGGCCCTTATCCAATAAAATGAGGGCAAATCCATGTATAACCGATCATTAATCAAATTAATTCATAATCACAATATGGTGGTGTTTGCAAATGCTTTTTGAAAGTGATTATGCGGTTTTTTTTGCTCATAATCTGTTTTTAGGTGTTTGCAAAATTAACTTTTGCTTTTGCTTCTCTTAAAATAATCTGCTTTAAACTATTTTTTTAAAAGCACCCCTAACCCTGTTTTTTCAATTTTAGTTCATTTTCCGAAATATTTGCAAACACCCCCAACTTTTAGAAATAAGCACTTAAAACTAACTTAAATCACAATCACTAACTTCTGCTTTTAAATAATCATTTGCAAACACCACCATAATGTCACAAGAAAATTAATAGATACGCAGAGTATAGACAAAAATACTCCACTAATTTGTAGAAAAGTGGAACTCAAAATCACAAATATTTATTAATTTTGTATGGAAACATATATTAATTACATAAATTTGAAACTTTAATACAGAGCCATGCACACCTATTAGACCAGGTTGATTGTAACCTGCCACGTGGAAGGTACAGCAGATTGCCAAATGCCACGTGGAGAGCACCAAAAGCAAATGAAATTCCACAATATCAACAGTTGAAACGTACATAATTAAAATCTGAATCATCATCTTAATTATATGATAATTTCATACTAATTAAATCATCTTATCTTTGGTGGTGCTGCAGTGCTGGTCCATCATAAGGCTGAAGTCCTCGAAGCACACGAACCCGTCCCCGTTTCTGTCCACACCTTTTATCATGCGCCGGCAATCCTCTAACGTGCACCGCGCGTCCCCGATTGTTTCGAACACTCTGAACAGCTCCTCCGCCGTTATCTTCCCGTCGCGATCGGAGTCAAAGAAGTCAAACGTGCTCCTCAGCTCGCCGTCGCAAGTCGGCGGCGCGAAAGCCGACCCGATCGCGTAGAACTCCTCCAGGCTAATGCACCCGTCGCCGTCCCTATCCACCTCGCTCACCATCAATTTCAGTTCCTCCTGGCTTGGCGGCTCGGCTCCGAGCCGGCTGAGCAGCCCCTCCAATTCCTCCTTCTTTATCTTCCCGTCGCCGTCTCGGTCGATCATTTCGAACGCCTGTTTCAGCTCCGAGCACAGGTCGTCGGCGGAGGGGAGCACGCTTGTCGGAGTGGATAAGCCGCCGTTTTCGGTTGAGGATGAAGACGCCGTCGTCTGCGAGCCAAACGACGACGTTTCCTCCGATCTGGAAACGGAGCGGGATTTCTTCTTCGATTTGAATAGGGTTCCGGGGATGAACTTGGTGAGTTTCATGGTGTAATTAACGAAAAATCTGAAAATCCAACACGTTGGAGAAGAAAGAAAGATAAAATTAAATGGAGTAATTGGTGGAAGAAAGAAAGAAGAATGGAGAGTTAAATGGACGGAGAGTAGTACTGTAGGCAGCCATAGCCAGCTTCCTGGAAGTTTCTTAGAGAGAGAAAGAGGAGAGAGAGAGAGAGAGTGTGTGTGTGTGTTGTGATCTTGAAGGAGTACATAACATGTGTAAATTATTTTACTAGTAAATCTAGTTTTTTTTTTTTTTATATATATATATATATATATATATATATATATATATATATATATATATATATATATACATATATATTTTAAGTTACAAGTATATATAAAATAAATTTAACATGTGTAATAAATAAATTCTTTTGGTCAATTTTAAATTGTAGTTTTCAATTATAAATGTACACTTATAAGTATGATATATTATGAATATAAATGTATAATATAATTTCAAATATAAATAAAAAATAAGCTTTATATTCTAGTACTTACAAAAACATGTTTCCGGATTAATGTTGATAGGTACCTAACAAGAAGGTTCCTAGTTGTTATGCTTGAAAATCAATTTTAACTAATCATAATTCATTTTTATTTGTTTTTCTTTTATGAATATTTAATTCGAAATCATTTTAAAAAAAAATATTTAAGATTGATTTATTGCCAAAAGATTACTATTCTCACACTCGATTCTAGAATTTTGCACCAACTTATCATTTCAAAACTACTCAAGTTATATCCATGCATGCTGTTGAATACATATGCTCTTGATTAAGCTTATTGTGTGTCATTTATAATTTATTTATATATACAAATACTTGTATGAATGTGTGTAAATGAATATATTAGTTAGCATGGTTAGTTTGAAAAATCGATACACTTTAATTTCATGCAAAATTGAAAAGATAATTTACAAAAAAATAAAAAAAAAATCAAAATGTAAACAAAGCTTGGAAGTATGTAGGGGGACTAATCCACAGTAGCAAACAAAAGGCGCCAAACACTGAATTATTACCAAATGACAAAATGCAATACATACATAGATTGATGTTTGACTACTCTCTGTCCATTCCCTTTTTTCTTGGAGCTTCTTTCCTTGAACCTTCCTTTGATCCATCTCTTCCAACCAACAAGTTGCTACGTGGCTGTGTCAGCATCAACACAAACGTCGTCTTCCCCGACAACATCGTCTCCGTTTTCAGACATGGATTCATTCTCAAGGCTGTCCTGTTCCACAAGATCAGCAGCCGAATCATGCGGAGACGATCGCCTCCTCACGACGTTGAAAACGATTCCGTTTTCGATTCTCTCCGGCTGCAAGAGATCACCCTCACCCACCGTAATGCTCGCTGTCGGACCCTCCAAATTCCGCACGAAGTCGATGAACTTGTCGGCCGAGGTCGTCCTCATCAACGGCCCGCCGGTCCTCGTCCAGGAAGCGGGGTCCACCACGCTAGCCTCCGACTCGCTGTCGCTGTAATTCGACCGCCAGTTCCGGCCGACCAGGTCTTCCTCGAGCGATCCGGTCGAGTTCTCGCGGGCGATGACGTTCCATGAAGGGATTCTCTTGGAGGCGTTGAGTTTTGCTACGCTGCTCGCCTGACCGTGGGAAGAAGATGCGGCTGCGGCTGCGGATGCTCTCTCAGAGCTTCTCTTCAGCCTGCGCATGTGGTTCAAAACGGCGACGCATTCGTCGAGCGCTAATTCGATGCCGCAGTTTGCTTTTATTGCGGAGAGCTTCTCCCAGGTGCATCTTCTCCCCTGGTTTGCCGACTTTTGTAGCTCCACGTACGATGGATTCTGTATTACTTTCGATAACTGCAATCAAAAGATTACATTTTGTCTCAATCAAACATTATATATATACATATATATATGTATATATACATACCTGGGCTAAAGTAGCAGGCATTACAACAGTAACATGACCTTCCCAATCCTGAGCAAAGAGTTTGGCAATACCACCCAATGGGAAACCAAGCTCCAATATCTGATTGCATCTGTGTTTTACCTCCATCTCAGCTAGTTGAGCAAGCTGCATTAATGATAATATTATTTGATTGCATATTCAATCGGGGAGTTAGATGCTACATCTGGTTATTTTTACCGGGTGGATTTGACCTGTAGATTTGATTAAATAACTACGCACTAAGCACACATACACATGAGTGTGTGTGTGTGTGTGTGATTATGTGTAGAACTACGGTTTAAATTCACCCAGTGTAAATAATCAGGTGTAGCATCTGATTTCCCTGATCGATCACAAGAATTAGGACATTATTATTTAAGATAATGGCTAAAAATTGTTTCATCATTAACATATGTAAGTAGATTTTATTGCATTTAGTACCCCTGTTTGCAAATAACTCCCTGTGATGCATTTTTTAAGCACACAACTCCCTAAATGGTGCATTTTTAGGGGTAGTTTGCTAATAAAATTGAATCACATGGGCAAAATTGCTAATATCTATAACACGGGGAGCTTTTTGACAATTAGAGTAAACACAAGGTGTTAATATAAATGTGTGTGTATATATATACCTTAGCTGCAAAGTTGCCTCCATAAGCTCTAACCATCTCCTTCAACCTCAGCAATGGTGCAATATGAGGATTGGCCTGGCTCACAATGAAATGATTCACATTAAATAATTCCTTCAACTGCATCATAGGCAAATCAATCTCCAAGCTCCCATCTCTCCACCGTCTCGATGAATATCCCGTTTTACCCCCCTCTTCAACGGGGCCCACATTAAACGGGGGATGATAAGGCACAATCTCGCCGCTCCTATTCTTCGCCATAAGCTCCTGCGCCTCGTACAACCCCGGAAAGGCGCACGAAGCCGTCACGGCACTCCATATCACGACATGTGGAGAAGTCAGGTAGTTGAGACACCTAGGCGGCTCGTGCTTACGTGGCGAACACACTGTAATACCCAGCACCCGCCCCGTCATATCGTACGCTTCTTGAAAAGTCAGATTGTTGGTCAAATGCCTCAACATCATCTGCAGCTGCCGAATCTCGTGCACCGCCCCATGCATCATGATTCTCTTGAAAGCCGTAAAGATCCCTCCGATTTGATCGAAGAACTGGATCGAATGCCAGGAATCCTCGAAGAAACTCTGTAGCTCCGGCCAAGATCGAGTTGCCAAAACCGAACACATAGCGGACCCCACACTCGAACCCGCAATTATTCTCGGCAAAAGCTTGTGTTCGACTAAAGTTTTCACCACTCCAACATGAAAAGCTCCTAAAGAAGCACCGCCACTCAAAAGCAACGCCGTCCGGCCAAAAGCGTGCCTCGTTTCATGCATGAAAGCGAGCTTCTCTTCCAGAAGAAGCTCGTTCGAATCGGAGTCGCACACCATTCTCAACTGCATGGTGACTTCATCTATGTACTCCTTGATCAATTTAGGCACGTGGAGTTTTCCTTTATGGAGCTCGGGGTTGCACATGTTACCGAGGTTCCGGACCAAATCGGCCCTCATGCAGAAGATGATGTCACGGAGGGAGCACTGCTGGCGGCGGTGGCGGAGCTCTTGGAGCTTGTTTTTAACAAGCTCTTCGTCGTAGAGGTTTTCTTGGTGGTTGTTGTTAGTTGTTCTGAGGGTTTCCTTTTCGAGCATTTTAGCGGCGTGGGCCCACTCGTCGTGGGTTAGAGCTGACCTCATCATGTTCCTCCAGAACTTTCTCCTGTAAGCCATTTCTGCTCTGGTTTTGACGTTTGTGCATCGTTTTAGCAGGAACGCGATTAGTGTGACGAGTAGCAGTATGCCTTGCGGGTTTCGAGGGTGGAGCCATGAGATTAGAGGGGAGAGGTGGTTCTTCAGTTTCTGAAGGTGGGAATATAATGTAATGAAGATTTGGTGCTTCAAGTGTGATATGGATTTGCATAGTAAGATCCGGAACGCGATGGTTCGACCCACGAGGGTCGACGGCCCGATCGAAAACGGGTCGACGCTTGCCTCGTTGGTTATTATATCCATGATTTAGTTTCTGCTCAAGTATATATGTATATGTTCTATCCTGCAAATTGATGATTAACACAGAGAGAGAGGAGCAGGAATATGTATGTATACATACAGAAAGGAAAATAAGGAGCAGCTTGGATAATTATTGAAATAAAAATAGTCAGACAAAAGTATTGGGATCTGCAAAAATAGGATCAGATTAGATAACGATATATCCTTTTGCAGCAATTTATAAACAAAACAAGTGACGCCTGCTGGACTAATATAGCATCTAAGAAAACTACAGATAGATATATGATGAAAACAAACATAAATAAATAATAAATAATAAATAAAAAGAAAAAATAAAAAGCAAGCATTTGATATATTATTACAGCAATGGTTTTGTCAGACAAATACATGATAGGGACAGTGATCATCGTGTATATTTATATGATTCTGAATTCTGATACTAATTAATATTTTTGCTAATATATGTTAAGATGAATTCTAACTAAACTGATGCTGCATCTGAATGGGGGGATTTGAAACAAGGGTTTACATATCAAAACCAATATGAACAAAAAAAAAATCCGACATTCAAAGAAGTGGCGAAAAAATCAAGAACCGATATTTCGTCATTGACGTGAATTACTAAACGGATATTCCCTGCATGCATAAACTGCATCACGGCAGAGGCGCCAATGTTCTTTCCAGGGTATTACTATCCACGGCAATTTCATAGGGAAACTAGGCCCGGGAGCATATAGAGTGCTGCACATGAAAAAAACATCGGGAACAAAATTAGCACCAGAGGAGACGATTAATTAACTTTTTTAGTAGTTTCGGGATGAATACCTTTTTCCAATGAGAAGCCCGTAAGCTGATGAGCCAATAGATGACTTAGACAAACTTGAATACGACAAGTTTCTGTTTTCTGGCCAGGCTACCTCTCCTGTAACACGTTTATCGCAAATGAGCAAACTAATAAGACGAGGCACAATTGAAGGTTTCAAAAATTAGTTACCATCTAGACAATAGGAAAATAACTAGGTTTAATGCGATATTCAATTTTGTCGTACCTAAGTTCAAATAATTGCTTTGCAGAAATGAAACCAAAATAGTGGATTTGCTACTGCTACTTCCGTAATCTGTTTTTTGCACCTCCCCAGGGGAGGAGTTACTGCCATTAACAGCTTCAGTATCCGAAATTTGACATGATGCAACTTCAAACCATACACCAGATGGGAATCTTTTTCTCGTTTTCAACCAAAGGAAGACTTTAGCATATGTAGTGGCGTGGATAAAAGATATAGCAGCCTCGACAACTATGCACATAAAGCTCACAGATGTGTGCAAAATGGTGAAAAAGATATAGAATGCGGATGTTGTTGGTAGTAGAAGTAAAATTGGGGTGAATAGGAGAGAGCCCACTACATGTTGCTCAACTGTAAAATCATAGCTATCCAATCTGTGGCGCAGAGGATTACCCTTTATACCCCTGCAATCAATTTAACAATTTTCTCATTAGATTGAATACCTGGGTGTTGATGCAATGACTGGAGGCAAGCATATCGTAAACACAATAATATGTTACATGTTTTTTTCTACGTTTGTTACCTGAAAAGGCGCCACAAAGCTGATACCGCCTGTATCTGAGTCGAATAGAGAAGTGAAAGAAATAAATGAAGAGCCAAAACATGCATAGTTACTAGTGAAATTATGTCGACGATTAGAGCTGCCGCTGAAGTTAAACCAAAAATAATCCCACACAGAGCAAGTCCTTTGGTGAAATAAGGAAAGAGAAAACCCATAAAAACCCAAAGTGTAGACCAAATTTGAATGGCGTTAAGAGAAATCATGCCAAGAACTCCTGCTAGCTCGGTATTCAACTTAAAACCAGCTGGATTGCCCATCAGCCATACACACCCAGAACGTAACCAAACGTTTGTGAAGTCATGAGCAAAATTCGTAACCCATAACCACGTAGGTTCTGCCATAAACCATAGGGGAATGCCAAAAAGATTTCCTAGAAGAACATCAACCAAAACATTTGACCATATTAAGTGCTTGTGTAGTGCAGCTTTCTCTGCGAACTCAACAGATGACCAACTCCTACATAAATGGAAAATATTAATAAAACATTCCAACATTCCCTTTTTTCTGGAAACGAGAACCATAGAAAGTTAACAAAGCATCACAAAATACATGGTTTCATTAATACTAGCAGAACACCATTTTGTTTAAATGTTTTAGTAATTATAATTAACCAATCAATAGCACGAGCATATCCAGTCAACATGAAAAAATTCACTGCTTAATACACTTAATTATGATGTTCACAAAAATAATTGAAGAAGACAGATTGTTGTGTTACCTTAGACTATGATCCTGGAGAAAGATAGGCCAATACAAGAGTTGACAGCAGCGGAATTGAATATTCTTTACGGTACTATTAAATACTTTGGCCAATATGACATCTATATATGTGTGGGATAACCAACTAAAAAGAATACTGGAAGACTGAAGAACAACGTAAATGGCAGTCGAGAGTGAAGCGACAAATACAGCAAATAGTTGCGATGTGAAGGAGAACCTGACAAGTCATAAAGAAGCTGTCACGTTGATAACAAAAAATAGAGGAAAATTGATGAAAGGTTTATTTTAGTTACATGTAAACAATGAAGAACTGAAGACCATGCTCAGCATGACGATGTCCATGAAACAACACTTGAGCTGCATTCGCGCTGTTAATTGCCTGGATGACGCTATCCTTTTCATAATGACAATTAAACAACTGATTCAGATAGTGAAACTCATATTTGACAGATATTATTAAGAATATTTACCAAGTCAGGCAGTGCATCTCTTTGGTGAAGGTCGTCAAACCACTTCGGTTTCTTGCAAGGAGATGCCACTAGGTTGGATGAACTACGAGTAGCCAGGGAATAGTGGTGAAGACCAAAAGTGGGTACTTCATAAAATATTACCTAGAATTAACAGGAGACTGATTTAATCTATAATTAAAGTACGGAGAAAATAAAGAAGCTTGTTGTACAGGTGAACATGACTTACATACGTGGAGATCTAGATGCGATATTCTTTCACTGTTCAAATGTAGATGATCCAATTTGGGGATGACAATGACTCTCCCATCCAATGTTTCAGAAAAACCGAATACAAGCTCTAGCCACATGTTTTCTAGAGCAACATGTTTACATTGTTCTAATACCACATCATGTTTGGAGCATCCACGACTCCCACTTCGATGATTACTCTTGCGTGTATTTTGATATTCATCACCAGTTAAGTTGACGGATTTATTTTTATCATTTCCACTTCCGACGAACTGGCTGTTGCCACTAACACCTCCTTCCAAATATCCCAGCACAGAGAATTTGCTCTTATCTTGAAGAAGTGAAGGCATTTTCTCATTTATCCTCTGAAGGGTTTCCTTAAACAAAGAAAGCAGCGGAATACAGGTTAATCATCAAACATAAAAAAATATACACATTTAGGTATTAATCATGATAATCCAGATTCATCAACTGTTATGGAGAGTCACAAACTAAAACTCAAACCAATTCACCCAAGAACCACTACAAATAAAGCTGAGGAAAAATTCATCCACCCAAACCAGCATATGCATGCACAAAAGCCCGCAAACGTAGCTCAAATTCAACTGGTAACAGAAAAATCAACCAAATAAATTTCGAAATTCTCGCCGGAAGTAATAAATTTGCTTCCGACGGAGTGAAACTCAAACAGCATTACATCTCGAATATCAAATTGAGACCTCCAACTCCCAGAAAACAAACTCCAATCAAGATAAGCGTATAGTTCGACATCTCGGACAGTACCGGAACACCAATGCCGAAAATCGATAGTGCAATTGGAGTTTCAATTTACGAAAATGAACTGAATAAACCTACATATTAAGCTGAACCATACAAAATGTCGAGATATAAACAACATCTAACCCCCATCAACCAACAAATACGAAGTATATAATGTGAAGAACAGCTATATTTAATAATTTCAAACTGGAACCAAAGTGTGGTACCTGAAGATCAGCACGGCGATTCATCGAGGAAGTAATTTTCGATTCGTCGGAGGCAAAAGCCACGACAACATCGAGTGAAACTTCCGATGAGGGAAAAAACCACCCGAACAAAAAACTGGAATTAGGCGGAGTTTGGGAGAAGAGATTATTCGGCCACCAAAGCCTACACTTCTTTCGTCTTCTTCCCATTTCTGCAAGCTCAATCAATTACCCCTCATCCGCCGCAAAACCTAGAAACTTGAGATCGGCGTGATTTTGCTGCGAGTATTGCCGGCGGCCAATAGCGGATCGAGGGCCGTCAAACCCGAGTCTAGCATACGTATTTTTTATTTTATTTTTTATTTTACGAGGAACATAGAATTTTGTTAAAGTGCTATATAATTATTAAGGGTAAATTACAAACACCCCCCTGAGGTATGGTCAAATTACAAAAACACCCCTCTTGTTTGGATAATTACAACCACCCCCTCAACTCCTCAAATTTAGTGGAATCTTCGAGATTATATGGAACATTATCACTTTTGTACCCGTTTTATCCCATTCAAACTCTACATTATGAAGCAAGATGATCATAATATGTGATTTTTAGCTTGTATATATCAGTTTGTGGTGCATAGGAAACTATATTTTTACACAAAACGAGTACAAACAAGAGCAAATTTCACGGAATCTAGATGATTATGTTGAATTTGGCACCATAAGGGTGGAGGTGTAAGAAAAAATCACAGTTGAGGGGGGTATATGTAATTATCCAAACAAGAGGGGGGTTTTTGTAATTTGACCATACCTCAGGGGGGTGTTTGTAATTTACCCAATTATTAATTAATGAGTTTTATTATTATTGATCAAAGCAATTGAGTTTTGTTACACTATTATTTAATCTCACATCGAGAAATTAATACCTGATAAATATTAATTTTATTTAAATAATATTGTTTTTCGGTAAGAAAAATATACGAAATTAATAATTCGCTAAATTTATAAAATAAAATATATTTAAAAAAAATTATATGCCCCGTCTAAATATAAATTAATAATTCCCAGAAATACGCTTCAAATATGTAGTTTATTACATTTCTGATAAATTTATAAAGACTCTATAAAAATACGATTCAATTTTTTTTTTCTCGAAGTTGATGATATCACCTTCAATATCATTCTTCATTTTTTTTAAATATTGTAAGAACTTTCGGTGTGTTTTTGTCATAGTTCAGCAAAAGAATATTCTGAGAACATTGCTCGTTTAGAAGCTCCCGTCCGAGATACGAGCATTGTAGTATAATTATCATCATCTTCTTCTTCATCCTCTTTATCAGCTACCACGATGTTCTCAATTACTATTCGTCGGTCAATTATCTCTTAAATAATGTTGTTTTCTTTAGAATAGTTCAAGAGACATTCAACATCCATGTAACATTTGTTACAATAATTCAACTCATTTATTAGATTATTTGCAATTTTCGAGTGATTTCACCATCCAATGGTTCGTCCGTAATTTTATTAAAAATAATAATAATAAGAAGAATAAGAATAATAATGTATAAATTAGTAAATTTTCTGGCCCGATAAGTTTTTAACCCGTTAGGATAACGGACCTGGGCCTTAAACATTAGGCGACACAATCCCAATTCCTACGTACATAAAATGCTTTTTAGGCCGTCTACCGACCAATCCAACCCAAACACATGATTTCAGCCGAAGACCCGGTCCCACCATCAAACCAAATTCTTCCACTTCTGACCGTCAGATCAAAAGCGTCACTTCTCTCAGCTGTCGATCATTCCCCAATCAGAAACGACAATTATTAGAATGAACACATTCCTGATTGGTGGGGCCCACCCGGACCCACTAATAATTCCAAATTCATGAACCGATACGCGCTTATCCTCTTGCGTCACCGGCTATTCCCGGTAACCTGACCGACTCATTATTGATAATTTAAAGTACAACTTTTACAGGGTAATGTACAGTTCCTTATTACGGTGTTCGCTTTTGGCGTGCTAATTGGAAATACAGAGAACAAGTTGCAGCTTCCAACCAAACGAGACCCTCTCTCTCTACTTTAAAATCAATCAGTGGGCAGGTTTGGAAAATAGTCCAAACCTAAGGTTCGGTAGAGTCAGGCTTGGATTCTACGGCCTATGTATATACTGATATCTCCCCTCATTTCCTTCGAACAAGTTATCGCTCTCTACGTGTAAGCTCGGAACTCGACGCTAGAGAGAGGAGAGAGAAAGAGGATATTTTGCATTTGAAGGTACTATTCGTGGACCCAATTTTCGTTTGATTTTTCATTTTGATTGGTGAATCTACGGATAGCGTAATGAACCTCTTGAATGCATAGATCTCGAGTTCGATTACTCGTAATGATTTTTTCTTTTTGATTTTATGAATAAAGCATGTTCGCTGTCGCCGATCTTCTGATAGTTCTTCTCGGAACAGTTTTTGCGTATTAGAACAGCGATTTAGTGTTTGTTAGCTGTAGTTTGTTTGGATCTTTTAATGGAAGTGAAGTTTCAGAAGATCAAGTAATTTAGATTACTGAGGGTTTATCTCTAATCAATAATCCTGCTGGAGTTTTTTTTTTGAGTAAAATTATCGTTAAAAAAAAGGCTGAAAACTTTGAAAATTTGAAGTAGTATGTGTTAGCAAGGAGGGTAATAGCACTGATAAGAGTGGAATTTTATTTTTTCATGGATTTAATTTTCAATTTCGTGGTGGTTAGTTAGTCGGGGTTTTTTTTTTGGGTGTGTTTTGCTTCTTAGTGATGGATTATTGAAGGGAACAATTATCTTAATATGCTGTTTTTCTGTTAGGTTTCTTTTGATCAAACCGGCAGCAAATCGATCATGGCTCTTGTATCCGGAGGAAGGTCGACGCTGAATCCGAACGCCCCTCTGTTCATTCCTGCTGCTGTGCAGCAAGTGGAGGACTTCTCGCCGGAGTGGTGGAACCTTGTCACCACCGCCACCTGGTTCAGGGACTACTGGCTGAGCGAGCACCATGGAGAAGACATTTTCGGCGAGGAAGACAATGCAAACGATGTTGTCGGCTTGTTGCCTGATACCATCGATGTTGGTGTTGATGAGGATATCCTGAATATGGAAGCACAGTACGAGGAATTTCTCCAGTCCGAGACGCATCATCACAGGGGTAAGAGTCTTTTACAGAAAATCGTTGAAAATGGTATTTAGTTCTTGATGAACCGTATATCGTTGTCGAATTGTAGTAATTGTTGCTTTTTATTTCATTTGATTCTGAATCTGAATTAACACTCAAATCGTTGTAGTTGTTTACGTTTCACATCATTGTAAGCTTTAGGTAAGTACTGATTTTGAAAAAAGGAATATTGGTACTAGTTTGATCAGAAAATAACCTTGTTTATCAAATTAGGAAGGAAATAAACAAATCTGTCCGTTTATAATTACCTCACTTTATGAATATTATATCTTGTGTAAAACATGAATTATAGTTAATCGTATTTCGGTTGATGTTCAGGTTTCGGCAAGAATGCAGGGGTGCTAGTGAAGAACATGAGCTTTCCGAGAGAGAGAGGTCCGATATCTCCAAATTATTGGGAGAAACCTGCGAAGATTGTTAGCCCAAGATGCGGGCCCCGGTTCATCCAGCAACCCCGTTGAAGGTCTACTATAGCCTTGTTTAGGGTCGTTAGTTCGAAGTATGGCTCAACAAAGCAGCAGCAGGTTTCTTTTTAGCGTTGTTTTTTACTTGTAAGTTTTCTGTATAGAGCAAGGTTTTGAACTCTCTCCTGTACTTTAATAGCCTTGTTCATATTCTGACGTTCCGCGTTTAGTTTAAACCGTGAAGAAAAATGTAAAAAGGGTGTTGTAGAAATGAGAAAAAAGAATTTGAAAACATGTCCGTTTGTTTTGTGTATCTTGCGCTTGAAAAGGTTTACATTAAATATTGCTCGAGCGACAATCGAATTTGCAAGAGGGTAGGAGAAAGAAAATGTCGACAAACCGGGATGGATGCTTAATTCGATTCATGTCAAGAAACATCATGATTCATATGCATAATAGCAAAAGGGGTCGGCCGAACCAAATGCATAGTCCGAATATTTTTGATGTTTTATCGAACCAAAAATGCATAGTTTAAATGCTTTTGATATTTTATCGAGCTTTTACAAGTCGTGTTTTAAGATTTTGATATAGTAAGCAATTGAGTCGAATTCGAACAAAAAATTCATCCGTCGAACACTAAGTCTTATGTTCTATTTTCTGATCATGAACGAAAAAGCTTTTGATGATCGATCCTGAACTGATGTTGAGTAATTTGGCTTAATTTTCAAACCAATTGATTTTAATTGAGGGATTGTCTTTTTCTTTTCTTTTTTACTTAACTAATTTGGTTTAATTACAATTAAGATTTAAATAAATTTTAAAGACAAACACATCCTTTTGGTAACACGTGGCAGATCCCAGAATCTACTGAGTCATGAAAACCTCAAGACGTGGCCACAAGACCACTCTAGCAAACGACACGTGTCGATCACTCATTCATTTCCAAAATATAAAACTATTTAATCGATGGATTCAAAAGTCTCATACTTTCAGATTTACTGTTCGAAGAAAAATAAAAAAATAAAATCATGTTTTTGAATGAAACGATGAGAGAAGGTTCATCACCACCATGGCAAGTTCTTAATCTAGTCGCCGACCACCTCGACCCAGAAACCCTAGCCACCGCCTCCTGCGTCTGCAAATCTTGGTCGGTTTCCATGTCCTCCGACCACCTCTGGCACCCCATTTGTTCCGCAACCTACCCATCTCTCTCCAACCTCCGCCGCGCCGCAGTACCCTACCGCAAGCTCTACTCCCTCGGCCGCGCCGCCGAGAAGCGCCGCCTCCAAAAGCCCCCCAAACCCCGCCTCTCAATGGCCGACTTCGCCTTCGCCGTCGACATCCAGAACAGCCGCGGCTCCGTCGCCACGGTGCTGAAGCCCGGCGCCCAGCTCAAGCTCGATAAAAGCGGGGTCTTCCGGTTCGATATCGATGTGGAGAGCGGCGACCAGGCGGCGGCGTTCGACGAGCTGGACAGCTTGAGGATCACGTGGAACGTGGTGTTGCAGGGGTTCGACGGCGTTTTCACGGTGATGGACTGCAACTGCAAGGGGAAAGGGAGCTTTATATTGGGGTTGGAGGGGTGGTTCTCCAAGGAGCTGCCGGCGGCGGGGTGTTGCTCGAGCGGCGCCGCTAGTGGGCTGGTGGCGGATTTGAGATTGGGGCTGAGGGAGAGCGCCGCCGGGAAGGTGGTGGCGGAGAAGATGAGCGTAGGGCTGTTGAGTATAGTGAGCTGGAGATATGTATGTGTTGATGATGCTCTTAGATATTTGCAGCATTTTCTTTTACCATGTAATTATTAACCTCATATTTACGAGGTTAAATTACACCTAGATCCCTAAGGTACGATGAAATTACTTTAAGGTCCTCCATATAGTATTGATAATTATAATTATCCCTTAAAATTATTTTAGCATATTTGAAGATATCGTAAAATCTTGACACCGGTGGTTGTTTCAGAGGTGTTGTGGTAATTACAATATCACAGGGACCTTAAAATAGTTTTAACAATTTTGAAGGGCATAGGTGTAATTACCCTATGCATGAATTATTTTTGTTTAAATCGAATTATTTTAATAATTAAATGAATTATTATTAAAATAAGGAATTTGAAAAAGAAAATGCAGCTATTGAAATAATCAATAATGAATTGAATTGCTTATTAAATATTTTACAATATAAATCAAAAAATTCAAAAATGAATTGAGACAAAGAATCAGCTGACAACCAAAAATCACTAACAACCTGTTGCCGCTAATTCAACTATGAGATAATATTCAAAAAATAATTAAAAAGAAAATTATAAAAGAAAGCTTAATTAGATGTCTTCTTGGGTAGGGGAGTTGTGAGGAGGTGTCATATCATCTAACCAATCAGCATAAATTCGATTAATCTTTTTTGTAAGTTTCCATTTTGATAACTTCTTGCTTTCTTCATCTCCATTCGAAGAAGGTATAGCTGCCACTAGATTATTAGCTGGTGCTGCGGTAAATGCTGAAACCGGGACGGGCTTTCTCGGAATCGAGACGGCTTCTTTCGCCGGTTCGAAGTGAACCGAGTCGCTAACGCTGACATGTGACTTCAATTCTGCAGACAAATCAATAAACCGTATCAGAACTTCTGTTTTCATCAGCCAAACAAGTAACATTGTGTATATAATAAAACAATGGATTAGACAAAGTTAGAATATGATACCAAGAATCAAGCAAAATATCCATCTTCAATAAGCAAAAGAAACATATAAGGATGCTGGAAATCGGATGGATCGGAATTAGCACTCAAAAAAAATGCGGATGTCAATTTGGTTTAGAAAAAAAGTATCCGGTATTCGAATGAAAAATATTGTCCCAAAATCCCAAACTTTAATATCGGAACAGGGGGAGTTGAAAATTCCAAATTCAATATATTATAAGTGTATTTTTCCGGAAAATATTCAGAAAATTTGAAATCTTTTTTCAAAATTTAAATCAGATCGGAAATCAGAATATCAGAATCTAACATGCATTCCAATCCCATTTGAAAAATTCGGAAAAAATCGGAACTTTTGAGGATTCAGGATGAAAAATAGTTCTGAAGTCCGAAAATTCCAAATCTTTAATCCGTTGCAAAATTCACCCCTAATCATAATCAGAATCATAATCATACGACTCACACTCCTATACAACCACGAAATCAACACAATCAATAGATTGAAATACAATAACGAAAACTTATATAAACAATCACGATGCATACCTGACTGCCCGTGAGCATAATGGCATCGATCGCCAAACGGACACTGCCCCATCTCCCATTTGCTACACATCCTCGTTTTCCAGAACACTTTATTATGATCAACATCCGCACCGACATTCCCCCTCGAAGCATCCCACGTAATTCCAACGTTAATAACAGAGCTTTCCCTCTGCTCGGGCATATCATCCGGCCTAAATTTCCGCACCGGAGGGGACAAAGGGCGCTCGTGTAGGAAGTTGCATTTGTCCCCGTACGGACACTCCTCCCCGTTGTAAAACTTCTTGCAAATCTTCATCCTATGAATCATCGTTCTCCGATCATCACCACCATTGCCTCCGAAAGAACTAGCGTTGTTCATGGATGCTCTGTCCTTTTCTCGGATAAGCTCTTGCCAGTTTGGAGGGGGCTGACGTAAGTCTTCGGGGCCGTGAGCGAACGAGCATTGGTCTCCGTTCTCGCACTTGCCCTCGTTGAATTTGGAGCAGATCCGAGTCTTGAAGAATATGTGGCTTGTTCCTTTGTTAACCGGAATGTTCGGCGGATTCATTCTCGGATTCGTTTGTTGTACGGGAGGCGGGAAATTCGACGGCTTTTCGGCAATTCTCGGTCTTTTGTAAGGTGGACGGTCGAATTGGGACATTAAATCAGGCTGTTGCTGTTGCTGTTGTTGGTGTTGTTGATCGTTGTTACCGGTCCAGAATCCAGGCCAGAATCCGGCGGCGGGGGCGCCGCCATCGCCAGCGGCGAAAGGTGGTGGTATGAATGGATACGTCGGAGGTGTAGGATCTGGATAACTCATTGATGATAATTTCGATCGATATCCAATTTGCTTGTTCTGAATGATTTATTTTTCTGGAGAAATCGATCGAAATCAATACCAAAAAGGGATCTTGAATCAACAATCAGAAGAACAAAACAAAAAATTGTATATGTAAAAATCACCCACGAAAAAAATCAATGGCATGAAAATCAATTGAATAACAAATCACTATATAAAAGAATCAATTCAAAATCCAGAATCGCAATCCGAAATCCGAAATCCCAAATCCCAAATCAGGATACGCGATCAAAAAATCAAATTTTTAAATCAATACAAAATCATCCAATTTTTCTTCCTACTAACAATTGCTACGAAGGATTCAGGAATCGACGAACCTGAATCAAATCCAATCAAATCAAATCAACTTCCCCAAATTAAAAAATAAAGAATTGTTTTTTTTTTTTTTTTTAATTTTGGAAATTGATAATCCAAAATTAGAGAATGAAGAGCAGATTCTGTACAAAAAATAATTAATAAATAAACAAGTATAATAAGAAGGGGCGCCGCCTCAAACCCTAAATCGAAGGAATTAAAAAAGGAAAGTTGAATTTTTCAATAGTAATTTGGCGAAGAGATGGAATACCAAAACCCTAAAGACGCCTAAAACCCCCCAACAGTTTCCTCGTATTAGCCCTTTGATTAGGATTAGGATAATTAAATCGGATAATTAATTATTAACTATTTTCAATCAATAAAAACTGTTTCTTTACTCTTTACAGGCCCGATTACCTGAAGATATGGGCTTTTAGCCCAGGATAAAAAAGCCCAATTCCATCTTCTCCCGCTCGCGCCACTTATTTTTTTGGCGGTTTTCCCTCGATTCCCGATGCTTACGTAGCTCTCCATCTTTGGAATTCCCAAATGGTTGTTGCTCTGAAATTAGGGTTCTTCTGTTCAAGTGCTGGGTGGTACGTATTATTCATGAATTTCTTTTTGGAGAGCTTTTCATTTCTGTGACGATTGATTTTATTTTTTTCGCAGTTTTTGTGCAGTGAATTCTAGGGTACCTAAATTTAACATACCCATTTGTTTGAGCTTCAAAATGTCATCAAAACGACTGCGTTTCAGTTCACCAGCATCAGCTACAGAGAATTCGGACGAGGTAACATGCATATATTAAAATTAAGTTTCGTATACTGATAGTTTTATTTGGGCAAATTACGGCCACCCGTCAAATTACGAAAAAACCCCTCATTTAATGGGTAAATTTAACATCGGAAGGTGGATGCGTAAGAAAATACTCAGTTGAGGGGTGATTGTAATTACCCAAACATCAAGGGTTTTTTTGTAATTTTACCTTACCTTAGGGGTGGCCGTAATTTACCATTTATTTTATGTTTGTTTGCAAGTTGGATTAGTTTCTAATTGGGAGTTTATTTTGATTTAATAGGCAAGTATTATTAAAAGAGGGATTCTTGAGGATGATCCTGCAATTATTGACAAAATGACTCTTCAGGAGATTAAAACAAAGTTAAGGTAAATGTAATGTTAAGGTTTTTTTCTTTAGCTATTTGTGTTCCTTTATTTACGAATTTCGATTTGGGTTTGCTAGATGGTGGTATGGAATTAAAAACTGAAACGAATGCTAGTTGCGTAATTTGGAAAGTGGTTATTAGACGCTCGACTATCTGAGAATGTAGTTGTTTTTATTTACCGTTGCGCGATTTGGTCATTTTGTGAACCCCATATTGTTTATTTGAGTTCTCGTTTCCATTTTTGCTGTACTTGTAGAAGTATAGGTGTCCCCGCGAAAGGCGCGAAGCCTGAACTCGTCTCTGCGCTGAAGAGTTGCATTAAAAGTCAAATCGATGGTACTCGTTTTTTGCGTTATATTTTCTGTAATGCTACATTGGTCTATCTGGGTTCTGAAGTGTCGATCGTCCTTTCAATGAAGGTGAAGGTTCGTCACCTCTGCTTTGTCAAACAATCTCTGAACAGAAGCCGACTAACGTTCGAGAAAACTCAAAACGAAAGGCTAAAAGGTCGTCAGAAAGCGATCATGTTCAAATAGAAAACGATGTTTCGGACGTTTCTGTAGATAAAACGACAAAGAGGCGAGTAAAACAATCATCGGTCAGCAGTGTTAACATCAAATCCGAGCAGGAGCTCGTCACCGAATCAACTAAAACCGAAGGTGCTATAAATCTTTCTCCTAGTATCGTTGTATTCTTCACATTCTGCAGAGTGAGTATCAACGAATTGTTTTGCTAATAATATCGATCAGGTGAAAAATCCATCCAATCGAGAAAGAGAATCTCTTCAAGAATCAGCACCGCCAAAACCGACACACGTGTCAATGCCGATCTTCCTATTGTCGAACCTTGGACAGTTCTTGCTCACAAGAAGCCGCAAAAAGGGTGGACCGCGTACAATCCTAAAAGCATGAGGCGACCTCCTATTGCCGCCGATACGCCACATATGAAGCTAATGTCGTGGAATGTCAACGGTTTACGAGCTTTGTTGAAGTTGGAGAGTTCCCCTGCTTTTTTTCAACTTGCGCAAAGAGAATCTTTCGATGTATTATGTTTGCAAGAGACGAAACTACAGGTGAGTTTTTTCATTTTGTTTCTATACTGTCGATTTAAGTTTATTTATTTCATTTATAAATATGATCGTAACTACACTCTCTGAATCAGGAGAAAGATGTCGATGTAATCAGACGGTCTCTTCTAGAAGGTTACGACAATAGCTATTGGACGTGTAGTGTCTCGAAATTGGGGTATTCAGGAACAGCTATCATTTCCCGAGTAATTTGTTTTTTTCTCGTTCGCTCTGATAGTTACTGTTGCATTTTATTATTGAAGGATAAACATAGTTTACTTTCTACTTCTCAATCTTTGGCAGATAAAACCACTTTCTGTACGATACGGTTTGGGCATATCAGATCATGACAGTGAAGGACGCCTTGTCACAGTGGAATACGATAACTTCTATTTATTGTGTGGCTACGTTCCTAATTCTGGTGATGGTCTCAGACGACTGGTACGAAACTCGTGAAATTTGATTACATACACCTTATGCTAATTCACAGTTCTTTAGAATATAAAACGGAGGATGATTAGTTCCGTTTTTACATAGTCGTACAGGATAACTGAGTGGGATCCTTCTCTCAGCAACTATATGAAAGTAAGTCTTGGTAGTTACTGTCTTGTGTTCGTTTCTTTTGAAGATTATTTTTTTATAGGAGTTCTCGTTGATTTGGTTAGTTAATCTTGTAGTTGAAATTGTGATTTTACAGGATCTGGAACGGTCGAAGCCTGTTATTCTGACCGGTGACTTGAACTGCGCCCATCAAGAAATTGATATTTATAACCCCGCAGTGAGTAACTTGCATCGTGAATATTAGCCGACGAATTTCTATTGTTTTGAAATTCTCGTCTATAAGGACTGGCTGATACGAAATTGCCATTTTTTTCGATTTATCTTATTACAGGGAAACAAAAGAAGTGCAGGTTTTACAGACGAAGAGAGAAAATCATTTGAAACGAACTTTCTTGAAAAAGGGTTTGTTGATACTTTTCGTAAACAGCACCCTGACGTCGTTGGCTATACATATTGGGGCTACAGGCACGGTGGACGCAAGACAAACAAAGGTGTGTGTTACGTCATTTTTCTCTCTCTTTAATATCGACCAATTAAACAGTAGACACGTTATTTTTGCTCTTTCCATCAATTTAACTTTATAATTGTGTTTTAATTAGGGTGGCGGCTCGATTATTTCCTTGCCTCGGAATCAATTGCAGACCATGTACACGACTCGTACATTCTCCCCGATGTTGGTGGGAGTGATCATAGTCCAATTGGCCTCATTCTCAAGCTATAGGCTCGTTTTCTCGCTCTTCTACGATATTAAAAAACACGATCGAATTAAACGCAACTTGAATCGAAATCAGATAGCATTTTGAGATTAAACGCAATTATTAAGGAACACCAATTCCATCGGAAATTCAGTAATGTGTAAATCTTCCACCGAGTTTTGTTCTCTCGTTACACTCTACTCTCTCGGGCTTGAAAAATTTAACGAGTTTGCGAAATATCAGGGCATAATCTTGTCGGAAAACAGAGATTTGCTCTGTTTCAACTTGTGCAGCAGTTTCCATGGCTGAAATCAAATTCTTCAAGCAAATTTCGGCATCCCCCACGATATTTCTCGGCATCAAACACTCGGCAACGTCAGCCGGAGTAATCTTCACTTCACCCAACAAACCCTCTATCGTATCAAACAATTCGTGCCGCTCCAAATCGAGATAATTCTTCGCCAAAACCTTAAACCCTTCGAACCCACAATAAGACAGCTCCACGTGCTTGTCCATACGCCCTCTTCGAATCAAAGCCGGATCCAACTTCTCGACGTAATTAGTCGTGAACACAATAATCCTCTCACTCCCACAAGCCGACCAAAGCCCGTCTATGAAATTCAACAACCCTGAAAGCGTAATCTTGCTGGCACTCTTCGACTCCGTTTCCTCTCTCGCCATTCGCTTCAGAGGGTCGTTTTCGTCTTTCTTCTTAACAGGCGGGGACCTCTGCCCGGTGAGGTCAGCCGAGCAGTCAATATCCTCGATAACGATAATGGCTTTACTAGAAGTGGCGATCAGCAGCTTCTTTAACTCGGTGTTGTCTTTAACCGCGGTTAGTTCGAGGTCGTAGATATCGTAGCTTAACAGATTAGCCATGGCGGCAATCATGGTCGATTTGCCCGTTCCAGGCGGGCCGTAAAGAAGGTAGCCTCGTTTCCATGCTCTGCCGATTTTGGAATAGAAATGCTCGGCTTTCGTGAACGATGTGAGATCATCTACAATATCCCTTTTCTTGATGGGATCCATTGCTAGGGTTTGAAACGTGGCAGGGTGCTCGAATGCCACGTGGCTCCAGGATGAGCCATTGTTGGTGAAGAGCTTTCTCTGTCGGTTCTTCACCTTGATTGCGTTCCCCTCTTTCATTACATGGCTGAGGTAAGTTTCGATGATGAAGTTTCTATGTTTCTTGTGGAATCTTAGACTGTAGAATCTTTTCTCGTCGGTGATTGGTTGGAAGGAGAAAGTTTGATTCTTGGAGGTGGTTTTGCCGGAGGCCCACCAGAGTTTGACGCCGTTGAACTCGTCGGCGACTTCTTCGTTGTCGTCCATGCTCAGGGAGAGGGTGTGGGTGCTGTTCTTGAGTGTCTCCGCCTTGAGCCGCCGCGCCTGGGCGGAGGAGGTGGTGCTCAGGTAGGTTTCTATGGCGGAGTAGGCCTCGCTGCGCATGAGACGCTCGCCGGCGAACTCGCTGAAGGTGATTTGGATGTACGGTGAGAGGAAGCTGAAGAGCTTGCCGGAGTGTTTTCCGACGGAGATTCTGAGCTGGGTTGGGATGTATTGATCCAGAATCGCTTTGAAGAACATGAAAGCGGCGATTGCGGAACCCAATTGAGCGAATAATTCTCCAAACTTCATTTCTTGCAGCAATTCTTTATTTTTTTCTTTATTCTTCTTGAAATTAAGTTTTCGTTACAAAAAATGATAATTGATAAGTGTGAAGTCAGCAGATTGAGGAAAATAATATATATAGAGGGTAAATGGTCACACGTGAGGTGATATCAAATTACAAAAATACCCCTTGTGTTTGGGTAATTACAATCACATCCCCAACTACAAATTTAATGGAACCTTATAGATTATGTGAAATATTATCCAGTTTATACTCGTTTTAATCCATTTCAGCTCCAGATTCTGAAACAAGATGATTATAAGATGTGACTATTGGCTTTTAACTATCAGATTGTGGTGCATCATAACCTATATTTTTACACAAAACAAGTACATTCTATAGAATCTAGAAGAATATCTTGAATTTGACACCACAATAGTGGGCGTGTAAGAAGATTCATAATTTATGAGTGATGACACCACAAGAGTGGGCGTGTAAGATTCATAGTTTCTGGATGGTTGTAAATTTGTAATTTATCAAACAAGAGGGGTATTTTTCGTAATTTAACCTTACTCATTTTTCGCAATTTAACCTTACCTAGGGGTTGTCGTAATTTATCCAATATATATATAGTTAAACCTCTATAAATTAATACAGTTGAAACTTGCAAAATTCTATTAATTTAGCGAAAATTAAATTATTGAGTTAATAATTTAATATATTTTTACCGAATCGGAGTATGTTTTTTTCCGCGGTCATCACATGTTTGTTATCTAGTGTGAAAACTCTTGTACCAAGCAATAGAAAAAAAAAAATCAGTGTCGTTGTCTTGTCTTTTACGTACACTTTATATAACATTATTTTGAGGTCGGTGAGGCAGAGAAATATCAGTTCGTGTTGGATTTGGTTTCTTCTTTTTTGCTTTAAACAATAAATTTGATATTTCCTGTCAAGAAAAAAAAGAAAAGAAAATTGATATATTATCATTTAATTTATATCATAAAATTCACAATATAAGTAATGCAGCCACTCTGGTACTTAGTTAAAATATATCTGGAAATAGCAGAAACCAATCACTTGTACCACCCTGTGAGGAACCACCTCAGCAAGAAACAGAATCCGCAGCACACGCCCTGTAATGTAACCCATAAATCGAGTTACGTCACTTCGTTCGAATGTTTCTCCATCAGTTTATATTCACATTTGTGTACAATGATTCCAACAAAAAACGGATTGATGAATATACCTGGAAAACTAAGAGTTGAATACAAAGGGTTTTCTCAGACATCCGACCAAATTGTCTTAGGAATAAGTTGACAAGTGTCCCGTCATTTGTCCCTGTTAGAAGTCCCGACTTGGGGTCGAACTTTGGCAGTCTATGCCTCGGACAAGGTATAATACCAGCCAGCTGGCAGAATTATTAAAATAATAGTCATTAATCTATACGTTTTCTTTGGTCACTCATTGTGACTGTGAGAAGTGTAGTGTGTGTGTGTGCGCGCGCGTGTGTGTGTGTGTGTGTGTGTGTGAGAGAGAGAGAGAGAGAGAGAGAGAGAGAGAGAGAGAGAGAGAGAGAGAGAGAGAGAGAGAGAGAGAGAGAGAGAGAGAGAGAGAGAGAACCTGAGGGAGAGAAAGCAGAAAGTTCAGAACTTGTGGAGCGAAGAATACCAAAAGTGTTTCGCTGAAATAGAATCATAAAAAAATTCGACGAGTTATCCAAAAGTTAATTTTTAACGAAGAAAAACCACAAATAGAAAGAAAGTGCGGTCTAAAACGACTCATAAAGTCAATCAATAATGTATGAAGAAACAATACCTAAAATGGCCTAAAATTCCAGCAACAGCCATAGCCATCCCAGCAAAGTAAGTGTAGGTGTCCCCAACGAAAACCGAAGATGGATACCTTTCACAAAAAGACGAAAACTGGGGATAATTAGCACGCAAATACGGCTTAAACTCTAAATCAAAGGAAGAGCAAGAATCATTACCAGTTATAAGAGAGTAAAGCTAAAGAAGTTGCAAGCAAAGGTTGAACAAGGTAAATCGAGAATGCATGTGCTTGTTTGTATTCCGGATCGCTAGACGCCCCTATTTGTACGATATTATGTATCAAAATCTGTAAAAAAAAAATACTATGTTAGATTCAACACAAGCAATCAGGTCTAAATAATGCAAAAAAAAAAAAAAAAAAAAAAATTCGCTTACAGCACAAGAGATAACGACTGTCTGTCCAACTTCGAGGCCATTGATGCCCGCATGAATGTTTATCGAGTTTGTGCAAAATACAGCTAATAACCCCATGTAGAGCTTATATATCCACCCTATTAGCCAAAAAATACGTATTTAATTAAGGTGAAATATTTTATTGAGAAACGGGTTCTTTATAACATCTAACTAAAAAAGGAAAATTGACAACTTACCTAAATCTAAAATCTCTAATCCAACATAAGGAACGAGTGGCTTTGGTATAATTATAGTTGTATGTCCAGCGTAAGCCATCAATAACGGGAGAGCGGCAATAGATGGCAACACTAATTTCCTGTCTTCAAAAATTTCACAAGGGCAGATAAGTTATTAAGCATATAACGCAGAGGTTATTTCGAAATACTGCTGAATGGGACATTCGAGAAAACTCACACTCTCCAAGGTACATCAAGAACGTCGTCGACAAATCCAAGAAGAATCATGAAGCAAATTGACGCTAGTGCAGCGTTGTATTCAACGAGCCACTTAAGGAAGAAAAAGAAAACAAGTTCAGATAACGTAAAAATATCGAGTAGGGATTATAACTTAGGTCCCACATCTATACACATTCTCATCCACTATTGCTAACAACATCTACGACACTACGATACTAAATTACATCATCCCGATTATCCATACATGTTTCATTATGTAAGAAACGCAAATCTTGACAAAGTGTGCAAGCGTAGGCAATAAACGATTCTTACATTTGAATCTGCAGTGAAGTTGAAGTACTGAAACAAGATCGCCACAACTAGAAAAACTATCCCGACAACAATGCCCAACGATTCAGGCCTGCGAATCATCAAATTACAAACTTAATGAAAAGACATCCACATCGAAGGTTGAACTCCAATTCCGAGTTTGTTTTTTTTTTTTTTAAATTTGCACCGGTCGAGAAATTCTTGCTAAGTCAACTGCTATATTAGTTCATTTAACTAGCGAAACCGATGTTTAATACAGATTCAACCAAACAAGATTAAACTCCAAAAGGCTAATGTAAAATAGTCCTTAATTATCTTGATGCACTGAGAAAACCTCTGTCAAATCAATTAACAAGACAAAATTTTCAGTCGATGAATCCACATTTCAATAGCTCATTTAATTTAGAAAAAAAAAAATTGTAATTACAGACATTTCAACTCAAAACTCAGTAAACCCACAATTCATAATCATAATTGCAAACTTAAAAAAATAAAAAAATCAGCATACTAAAATTCAGTAAACCCACAATTCATAATCATAATTGCAAACTTAAGAAAAAAATTAGCATACTAAAATTCAGTAAACCCACAATTCATAATCATAATTGCAAACTTTAAAAAAAAATTAGCATACTAAGATTCAGTAAACCCACAATTCATAATCATAATTGCAAACTTAAGAAAAAAAATTAGCATTCTAAAATTCAGTAAATCCACTATTAATAATCATAATTGCAGAATTAAAAAACAATGATCAGCAAATTAAACTTACACTTTAATGGATCCATCAGGGGTACCTTTCTTATTAATATCATACCCAAATAAATTCCTTCTCAATACATATTTAGACGCCACAGGAATCATTTTTACCGTAACGAAGAACCCCATCATGCTGACGAAAGCACTGATCGAGATCGATTTCTTGAGCTCATAATCAATTTTGCAGTGATAGAAAATCAAGTAGGAATATGGGATCAAAAATACGAGCAAAATTTTGAGAATTGTTGGGAATTTCGGAGGTCGAATTGGGGGATCCGATGGCGGGCTTTCGGGCTTGGGTTTCTCGGGTTCGGGTTTCTGGGTAGCGTCTGCAGTTGCTGAAGCCCGCTTCCTTGCTGCCATTATTCTTCTCTGCAACTCTTTTCACTACCGATTAATTGTTCAAATGTTTGACAATTTTTGATTAATTTAACTTTTTATTTATTTATTAAAATTAGTGAATTAATTAACTTTTACCCTTGAGGTAATTTTTTTTTGAAATTTGGTCCAAAACGGCGTCGTTTTGGTATTTAAAGGAAAAAAATTACCAAATTGGAGATGCAAAAATTGCATACATAAGCTTATGTATGTAATGTACCATTAACTAACACACAAAGTTTGCAAAAATTAAGTCTGAATATGAGAATAAGTTCCTCTTCTCACGGTGTACGCTCGGTTTACGGGCCTCCGAAATCACCGAGAGTGCACCGTAACCGCACTGTACCTGCACTTATAGAAAGCGCAAATAGCATGTGTTAGTGCATATGACAAAAAAATGCCAAATATCATAAAATCATCACCAAAATCATGGAGAGTTACGATAATCCAAACATAATTCAAATCAACCGAACAAACAAGTCCTCGAGCTCAAAAAACACTTATCCAATCAAGAAACTTCCGTAATTGCCATGCATTAGGGTTCACGATATTCTCAGCACAGTCGAGATCCATGAACAAATCGGAATCAGTATTATCGATTTCTTGGATGTAAAGATTTGGACCGGCCGTACAACTGTATGCCACACGAAATCCCGTTTATGTTAACCAATAATACTGTTTTTTTAGCATTGTTGAATGCTTCTTCGCATGCTGATTCGTCCGGTTATAATGACATTATCGAATAGGTGCATGTACGTAACTCTTTATCTGCAAGAGTGTCGTTCCTCACTTCATCGATTTGCAGAATTCCTTTTCCCATGAAGGTAATTCCCATTATTACTTTCGGTTGGCTAACCATGCATATATAAATATCTAGATAAAGTGAATCTAGCAATCGACAAATATAAAATGCACTTCAAAGTCGTTGCAAAAATATATTGTGAATGAGAACTCCTCTCATGAACAACTAAAAAATAAATTCGAGCTCGAAAAACTCGAGTTCGAGTTTTTTTGAGTCGGCTCAGCTCGTTTACCACCTCTAGGTCCAATTAGTATACACTTATTTGGGCTTCAGAGGCCCAAATATGTTAGATAATCAGTCCGCAAATTCCGCATGGGCCAATATTTAACAGTATTTGATGGGCCCATCCAAATCACGTTAGTTATAAAATTATTTAACATTTTATAAGTTATAAACTATTTATTTAAATGAAATAATTTTGTCCAACTCCTAATTTTCTCAAAACAAAAAAAAAACTCAAAATTATTTTTGCACCATGTACTAATTTATTCAACTCATCATACCAAGTGCTCAGCTCCTAAAATTTTCTTGGTTAAGAAACTATTTTATATATTAAAAATACATTTTAAATGTGCAATACAATGTGAAAGTACCAAAATAACCTCCTAAACAACACGTTTTTTGTTCAGCTTGAAACCTGTCATGACACCTTATATTAACAACAGTGCCACGTGGCAAAAAAATGGGAAAAGGAATAAAAAGACAAAGTAAAAAGAAGAATCTTTCACTTGAAAAGGTTGGTAGAGTGTATTTGTCTTTGGTTAACTAAAGTACAACAACAAGAGTATCATCAGAAGAAAAAAAAAAAAAAAAAAAAAAAAAAAATCTTACCTTATTTTTTTACAGTAATTAAATAAGTGTTGTCCTTCATCACTGTACTATGATATTACATTTACACAGATTCACTGCAACACATTTTGTCTGAGAAAACAATTGTCTCAAGGCTCCATTTACTCTTGTGGTGAAATTGACCCTTAGAAGAAAGCACAATGCCCATATGGTAATTAAAGCAACTGAGTCATTTTAGGGTAAATTACAACCATCCCTGAGGTATGGTCAAATTACAAAAAATCCCTCGTGTTTGGATAATTACATCTACTCCTCAACTATGATTTTTTTCTTACATCTCCACCCTTATGTTGTCAAATTCAACATAATCATCTAAATTTCGTGGAATGTGCTCTAGTTTGTACTCGTTTTGTCTGTTTTCCTCTGGAATTTTTCAGAAAAAGGAGCAATCTTGCACCATCACCATTGAAGAGTTACATCCAAGAAAATGTTTGCACATATTTACCAAAATGCTTGACTTTATAAATTGATGACGTGTCCTTTCTTTTGCTTTTCTTTGTCTCTTGCATGCATCAAATGAATTTAGTTAGGTGTATTTCCCTTCTGTCTTCTTCTCATCCCCTCTTATTAATTCAGAAAAAAAAATGTTTTTTTTTTTAAAAAAATTCAAGAAATAAATAAATATAAATAGAGATTCAAAAGATTAAAGCCATAAACACAATTGAAATGGGAAATAAGAAAAGCTGGTTATTCACTTATGTCAAGAAGCTTCTCTCTCCTGATTCACAACCAAAATCTCAAGAGGTAAAAAGAAAATATATATTACACCAACTTTTGATCTTCACTTAATTATTTTTTATTATTATTATTTTTTTTGTGATGATCAAAATATTTAGCAGGACAAGAAATCCAAGAATCGGAGATGGTTTATTCCGAGGTCGAAATTCAGACAGTATCCTGTAACGGAAGCCGAAGAGGAAAGGCGAAAGCATGCAATGGCAGTTGCTATTGCAACAGCAGCTGCTGCAGAAGCTGCTGTGGCTGCTGCAAACGCTGCCGCAGAAGTCGTACGCCTCACTAACAACATCCCGCGTCGAGTCGAAATGACGCATTTGCCCTTGCCGGTTATCAAGATCCAAAGCGCTTACCGGGGGCATCTTGTAAGTTTTATGTTATATACAATAGTCTAATATTATTATAACTTCAAACAAAAATTGGAATACTTATTGCAGGCAAGAAAAGCACTAAGTGCACTTAAAGGAATAGTGAAGATTCAAGCATTGGCTCGAGGCGAACTAGTGAGAAGAATCTTCGTTAGAAGACGAGCATCGTTAAAAGAATATGCCATTTTTTCTCAAGAGCTCAATGTAAGTATTTTTTTTTCCTCATCAATCAATCAATTCAATCCCTCATATTTGAAGTAGAAAACGTCGTCTCATTTTGTTCCCTTTTTTTTTTTCCGGATAGATTCACTCGAATAAAAAATTCTCGAATCGGGATTTAAGCTCGTTTTCGATCGAAGCGGTTACTAAAAAGGACTGCATGAAGAAAAGGGTAACTTTGATATTCTAGTTATTGGAGATATTAATATTAAATGATACATTTCACTAACAGCTTAAGCTTTTGGTTGAGATGGTCATTCAACATGGTATCAGAGCCAGGCCAAATGAAAGGTCCTGAGTTCGAATCCCACAGCCACCCATTTAAAAAAATATTTCAAGTGCAAGGCCTCAAATGTAATTCGCCTGCACTTGAGGGGGCGTATTGGAGATATTAATATTAAATGATTCATTTCACTAACAGCTTAGGCAATGTTTGGAACCGTTTTGGATCTTATTTTGAGGAAATATGTTTTGGGGGAATAATTTGAGAATGAAAGTAATGTTTGTTTGTATTTTGGAAGGAGACAAAATACACTGTAGAAGTCAAATCATGTTTAAAGGTGTTAGAAAAAGATATTTTTGAAGAAGAAAATTGAAAGGTGAAGTGATGTTTATTTGTTTTTTAGTGAAGACATAGCAGTCACATCATGTCTGGAGGAGAGAGAAACTTTTGAAATTGTTTTGAGAAAATGATTTGAAAAGTGTAATAAATCCCATTTTGTTTTGGGGAAACAATGAGAACAAAATAAAAACAGTTCCAAACATTGCCTTAAGCTTTTGGTTGAGATGGTCATTCAACACTAGTACGTGCTGCTATACATATGACCAACACTAGTACGTGCTGCTATACATATATGCTATAGTATCTTATTTTCCGATGATTTCTTGATTTTTCGGTTGAAGGAAAGGAGTAAGCGATTTGATCGTGAAGAAACGGAGAAGTTGAAGCCTATGTCTTATTCAGACACAGTTGATACAACTAGGCTGGCACAACTGAAGATGAGAACTCCAAGAAAACATGGGATTACAGAGGATTCGACGTTTTCGCTACCGAGGAGATCTTTTTTTAACGTGAAAGAGAAGTCGATTGGAGAAGAAAGATCTTTACCGAGTTCACCGGTTCTAGCAGGGTACATGGCTGCTACGGAATCTGCTAAGGCTAAGTCGAGATCGCTCAGCACTCCGAGGCGGAGATTGAGGTTGTGCGAAGAATATTCCGGTCAAGATTCTCCTCGCAAACTCAGTTTTTCTTCACGGAGTGATGAAATAATCAGCAGCCCTTATAAAAGAAACAGTGTTTCGTTGCGATTAGCAAGAGAATAATCAGTCACTTTTTCGTTTTTTTTTTTTTGGTTCTTTTCTGTATTTTAAAGTGAGGATGATATATATGAGAAGACTTTTATTGAATTTTCGCATTGCTTCTTACACACCATTCAAGAATCTCGACTCTTCAACCGCATTTTCCACCGTAGATGCTGATCCTAGTACCTAAGATCACATTTACATTTTGGGGGCAGAAGAAAATATTATAAATAGTTGACATCTAAACACAATAATTGACATCGTGTCCTTGTCGACAATTTATAAAAAAAGACTTTTGAGGAACAAGTTGAAGAGGAGAATAATAATAATGCAGAGTCACGTAGAGGATGGATGTATGATCTGTACGAACCTCTCGACGGTTTTGACTTTGCCATTTCCGTAAAATAATCTTACAAATCTTGCTGCATAATAGGTGCTTGCTGCTGCACCGTAAACTCAGGTCAGGTCGTGAGCAAAACCGAGTGCTTGTGATATTGATTTGGCAATGGAAGAAATCGAACGAGCAAGTGATGACGAAGAAAGTCAACAAACGGTACGAGCTGTAGTAACTATTCAAGAATTCTCGGAACTTGTTGAACCCTTGGCAAGAAAATGGCTACCAGGATGGGGGAAGCGGTTAATACACGGAGTGCCACCACACCTACGGGAGAGGCAGCCCAACAAGCACGTGTACGATCCGGAGATCATTTCCCTTGGCCCTTACCACCACGGAAAAGCATCGCTCCGCGAGGCAGAGGTATTTAAGTATCTTTGCCTGGATTGGTTCGCGGAGGGCGACGAGAACAAAAAGCTCCATCTATACAACAAGGTTCTCGAGAAAATCGATGACATCAGATCCTGCTATGCTGACGTCACCATTGTCGAAGTCGAAAAGTACGATGACAAGAGACTAGGTATGATGATGCTTTTGGATGGATGCTTCATAATAAACTTGATGAACAACTGCACAGGCATCGAGAACAACAACCACTCGGATTGGCTTGCGTGTTGCGGTATGGCTGCATCCATCCAAATCATGATTTCCGATGTCTTTGTGCTCGAGAATCAAATCCCTTTCCAGGTTATACAGTTGTTACTACAGGAGCGCAAACAAGAAACCGTCGAAAGTTTAGTTCAGCGTTTCATCGGTTGGACCATGAAGATGCAGGTCCAATATCAGTTCAACATTGTCAGAGAAAACGAAGAGCCTCCGATTCACATATTGGAAGCTTGTCGAAGAGCATTTGTCGAAACACCCAAATCCCGACACAAACGCAAACCCAAACCAAAACCCAAACAGCACACCGGAGTAATCAGGGAAAATGAAGAGCTTCCGCCTATTCACGTCTCGGAGCAGTTGTCCGAACACACAAATCTCCGCGAAAACGAAGCCAAACAGCCGACTGGAATAAGAGCGCACAAGTGGTTGCGGTGCGGATTATCAAGGAAAATCTCAGAAGTCGAAGTATCCCACACGTCGTTTCGTTCGGTCATGGATCTGAAAGCAAAGGGCATTCACTTCAAGCCTAGACGTAGTCACTCGGTCGTGGACGTTACATTCAAGTCGCATGCTTTATTTGGCCAACTTAAACTCCCGATTCAATACGTGTCCCCTCAAACCCGAGTCACATTATCCAATTTGATAGCGTACGAGGTATCGCCAAACAGTGGGGCGACGCCTGCCGTATTGGCGTATGTCATCTTCATGAAATCGCTGGTCGAAACCCCCGCGGATGTGAAGGAGCTGCAGAGGAAAGGGATACTGATAAATAGTTTCCCCACTCACGAAAAAGCTGTCGAGGTGTTTAGTGAAATCGATACGTTTGGATACGGGGATATCGATACCTTTGCACAAGTCAAGTCTTACGTCGAAGCGCATTGCAGAAACCGAGCAAAAACGTGGCTCGCGGATCTGATTCATACCCGATTCGAAACTCCTTGGTCTGCTATTGCATTGTTTGCTGCACTTTTCTGCAGACATGGTATACCATGCACCCTGTCAAATAATGATCCTTTACGTACGGTGTTCTTCGTATTCCATTATGTAGTGTGGTTTGCTGCGGTTCCTTCATTTAACCAAAAAAAAAAAAAGAAAAAAAAAATGTTTTATTGATTGATTTTGAATTCTGTTTTTTGTACTTGTTTTCTCTTTTGTTTCTCTGTAACAAAAATGAAATTTTAAGCCCTTCTATATATATATATATACACACACACACACACACATAAGCCCTTTAATTATTAAGCACTTCTACACCTCTCAGCAGAGAGAGAGGGTCCCATGTCTGCAATCCATTTCTTCCCAGCCACACCCATGGCGACCATATCTACAGCCAAGGCCACACCGTTCAAGAATCTCGAATCTTGCTCAACCATGGCCGAGCTCAAACAGCACCACGCCCAAATCATCAAGCTCGGCCTCTCCTCCGACAACGACGCCGTCGGCCGCGTCATTAAATTCTGCTCCCTCTCCCAATCCGGCGATTTGAACTATGCCCACCAGCTGTTTGATTATTTGCCCCACCCAGATGCTTTTATATACAACACCATGTTCAGAGGCTATTTACAAGCACAATTGCACAGAAACTGCATTATCTTGTACGCCCATATGCTGGAAAGATTCGTCACCCCAAATAAGTTCTCTCTTCCTCCCGTTATACGAGCTTGTTGCTCCGACGGTGCTATTGAAGAAGCTAAGCAAGTGCATGCTCATGTCGTTAAACTCGGGTTCGCCCGGGATTCGTATTGTCAGAACAATTTGATTCATATGTACGTAAATTTCAATTCGTTGGAGGAAGCAAGAAGGGTGTTCGATAAAATGGATAAAAAGGACGATGTTTCTTGGACTACGTTAATCAGTGGCTATTCGCAGTACGGATCTGTAGACGAAGCATTGTCCGTTTTCGAATCGATGCCCGTTAAGAATTCTGCAGCATGGAATGCTGTGATTGCAGCACACGTGCAGAATAACAGATTTCACGAGGCGTTTAGTTTGTTCAGTAGGATGAGAAACGAAAACGTGGCGATGGATAACTTTGTGGCCGCGAGCATGTTAGCAGCTTGTACAAGGCTCGGTGCATTGGACCAAGGCGAGTGGATACACAACTACATTAAAACCCGTTCGATCGAAGTGGACCCCAAATTAGCAACTACAATTATCGACATGTACTGCAAATGCGGTCGCATAGACAAGGCTTACGAGGTATTCGATAGCTTGTCTAGCAAAAAGGTTTCATCTTGGAACTGCATGATTGGAGGATTAGCAATGCACGGTAAAGGTAAAGACGCAATTGCCCTTTTAAAGAAAATGGAGGCGGAGAAAACAGTAACTCCCGATTATGTCACGTTTGTAAACGTGCTTAGCGCTTGTGCGCATTCGGGTTTAGTACAAGAAGGAAGGTACTATTTCTCTTACATGACTGAAGTTTATAGTATTGCTCCAAGAATGGAGCATTACGGATGTTTGGTCGATTTACTAGGAAGAGCTGGATTATTAGAGGAGGCGAAAAAAGTTATAAACGAAATGCCGATGAGAGCTGATGTAGGTGTTCTAGGTGCTCTTTTGGGAGCTTGCAGAATCCATGGAAATATCGATATAGCAGAGGAAATAGGGAAGCAGGTCATCGAACTCGAGCCAGAAAATAGCGGGCGCTACGTTTTATTGGCTAATTTATACGCGAAAGCCGGTAGATATGATGAGGTGGCGAGTATTCGAAAGTTGATGAACGACAGAGGAGTGAAGAAGGTAGCTGGATTCTCCATGATCGAGTTCGAAGGTACCGTGAGTGAGTTCATTGCAGGTGGGAGAAACCATTTACATGCGAAGGAGATTTACGAAAAAGTCGAAGAAATGATGGCTCGTATTAGAGAAGAGGGCTATGTGGCGGATAACGATGGAGTTGTGTACGAGGAAGATTTGGAGAATTCGTTGAATTATCATAGTGAGAAATTGGCTATTGCGTATGGATTGTTGAAGACGAAAGCAGGGGAGACGATTCGAGTGACGAAGAATTTGCGTGTGTGTAGGGATTGCCACGTGGCGAGTAAGTTGATATCGATGGTTTACGATAGGGAGATTGTTGTGAGGGATAGGAATAGGTTTCACCATTTTAGAGGTGGATTGTGTTCTTGTAATGATTACTGGTAATGGTTGTAATATGATAGGTAACCAAGGATGCTCTGTTTTACTATTGAAAAATGCGCTCCGATTTCGATCGCTAGTCGAATTGATCAACATCGGTACGTAAGAATTACCAGTATAAGATTTCGATCGCTAGTCTAAAAGAGGAAACAAGATCAATCCATCTAGCGAACCACCATACGAGAAAAAAATATAAATAAATTTTTTTAAAAAAAATGAGGATTTTCGGGGAAAAATTACTATGATGGTTCAGTACAATGTCATAAAAGCCAATGGAACTATTTTATTAAATATATAAGAATGAAAAGAAAAGGAGAAATAAACCTTATGGAAGCATCGAAATGTCAAACATAGAAAGAAAGGAAAAGACAAACTTAACCCTGAGAAAGTTCCTTGCTTCGTTTAGCAGCAGCAACAACTGCATTCATCAGAATCCCACGAAAACCTGCCTTTTCCAGCTCATGGATCCCTGCAATAGTTGTCCCGCCTGGCGATGCCACGTCATCTTTCAGCTGACCTGGATGCTTCCCCGCATTTCCCACCATTGTTGCTGCTCCCAATACCTTCACCACACCATTCAATTATTAATAATAAATTAATTAATTAATTAATTAATAATTTCATGTAAATGCAGTTGCTTACAGTTTGAGAAGCTAAACCGAGAGCAAGTTCTCGAGGTAGACCAGCAGCTACACCTCCATCGGCTAAAGCTTCTATTGCTAAGTATATATACGCAGGTCCACTACCACTGCACATTTCAAGAAAACGGGATTTTATTAAATACAATTATGAGTTATTTAGGTTTAAAATATCGAATCATGGGATAAAGGGTGTTACCTTAGGCCGGTGACAGCATCAAACAGTTTCTCATCGGCTTTCCACACTTTACCGATTGCTCCAAATAACTCGGAGATTAATTCTCCATCTTCGTTAGTTGCTGCGGCCCCCAGGCTAATAACTGTTGCATAAAATAAATAAATAAAATTAATCTAAAATGTGCACAAAAAATATTTCTTGTGATTTGGTGAAGATGTTGACTCTAAATTGTAATGCACTTTTTAGTCGCACATTAAACTTGTTTTTTTCTAAAATGGCCAATTTGGCAGGGATGGAATTCAATAATCGAACTGATATTTTTATTTACTACGAAAAATGATCCAGTGAAGCATATTATCTTAATCGAGACGAAATTGCAAGAGAAAAATAAAACGAGAGTCAGGAATTGATATATATATATATATATATATATATATATATATATATATATATATATATATATATATATATATATATATATATATATATATATATACCTGAGGCAGCCACACCAACAGCAGCAGGGGTGTTGGGCATTACTCTTATAAACCGATTATGACCCGCCCACTCCTGTATAAATCAAGTTTCATACGTCACAATATTGAGAAAAAAACTTGCAGCACGAAAAAAAAGAAATTACACCTTTTGAGGGTGTCGTGTACACATACGAAATGGAGAGAGAATATGGAAAGAAGTCTAACGAATAACCTGCAAATCCTTTAGCTTTACTCCGGCAACGACAGATACCAAGAGCTGCTTCTCTGACAGGAGTGGCTTTAACTGTAGCACCACATCTTTAACTACATATTTGAAACGAAAAAAAAAAAAATCAAGAGTATACAGGCAAGATGGTAGACAATCGTAGCTTGCTCGATAAGAACGGCATTAACTTTTCAACGCACATTAGCAAATGAAACTATACATTATACATTAGGAAATAGTCTTTCCTTGTTGAAAATTTTGCTTGCAAGAAAACGAAAGAAAGAAAACGATTTTCTTTTAATTTTTAATTTGTTGATTCTACAGTGTTGCTTAGGCTAACATACACTTCATAAATCAAACGACACAAACTGAAAGTACTAGCGTTTCTTATCCTAACAGTAAAGCAGACAGCTTAAAATATATAGGAAGAGGAAGCGACAAAATAGCAAACAGGAGCAAAGCGAAGCAACGAGATAGAGAACATACCAACTTGAGGTTTCACAGAGAATATAACCACATCGCTCTGTTCGACAACCTATCTTCGAGACATAAAAGCGAACTGAATTATAATCATAACAAAAGTAATAAAACTCTTTATGAAAATTATATTAAGAAAAAGAGCCAAGAAGTTCAGATAAATTGGTTAATTTTAACAATCCCGATCGGAATAAGAACAAAAATGCCCAATTTATTACAGGTCTACAGACAAATGGAAAAAAGAAATCGGCACTATACGAGGATTCAACAGCACATGATCATCTAGGTTTCCAAATGAAACAAACACAACTAAATGTAACAAATGCACAACCGCACCGATTGAAACAGTCCAAGTATCGAGAATACCTGACTGTTTTTATCGAGGACTTTGACGCCGAACGATTCGAAGGCAGTACGACGAGCGGTGCCGAGGTGTGCAGTTCGAATATGGGCGGCGGGCAATAACCCCGATTTGACGATACCTCTGGCAATGCTCTCAGCCATTTTTCCAGCACCAATGAATCCAAGCGTGTAGGGTTCAGTTGTAACTGGTACAATTTTAGCCGCCATTATCTGAGATAATAAAAAGCCATGAAATTTAATTCATGTTATATTTGAAAAGAGAAGATAAAACATAAACCCTACTCATGAGTTTGTACAATCATGAACAGAACAGAACAAAAGCAAAGGTACAACCTTTTTTAGAATCAGGTACAACTAATTGAGTATTGTTGCTCAATCAATACAGCATCAAAGAAATTTAGATGAAAACGGAAAAATAAATCAACAAATAGATGTACCCTTCTTTCTTCTTCAACGGCTACAACTGATTGTACGGCGGCGGCGGCGGCGCGTGGGCAGGAAAAACTGGACTGTGAGGTACATGCGTGTATAGAATATATATATACACAAATATATACGTATATCATGGGGCAAAATTCAAAATCGCCCCTGAGGTTTGCTCCCAACTTCAAAATCATCCCTGAGGTTCTATTGAACTTCAATTTCGTCCTTGAAGCCTTATTTCTTTTTTTTTTGAAAAAAAAAAAAAAAAATTATCAAAGAAAATTTATCAAACTCCCAAAACTGCCCTTTACCCCTTTTACCATTTATTTGGCTACATATTTTCAAAAGAAAAATAATATTTATTATTTTTCTCTTTAAACATTATTTATGATTTGATGTTTTAACATGGACACTTATTACAAATCAATACACATTTTTTTAATATAAAAACTTAATAATTAGTCTCTATAATTCTACCATTAAAAAAAAGTAAGTTGTTATTTTGTTCCAATTAATTTTCAAATGATACACATTCAACTACTTCCTCTTACATAACCCACATAAATTGCATAATCATTAACCTAATTAAAAGAGTTTCAATAATCAGTTTTTAATATATACTGTTTTAATTAAAGTTTATAAATATTTATTTTTTATGGCAAATTTTAAAAAAGTCAGGATTCTGCCTCTAAACCCCATAGATATTTAGTTTATTATTCTAAGTTTCGGCTCCACGGTAAAATATTTATGGATGAACGCATGATTGTTTGTGTTCATATTTATCCCAACATCTATTTTTCCAACAACTATTTTTTCCACTAAATTAAGGTCACTTCTTAATAAAAGGGCAGTCTTGGTATTTATTTTATTTCTTTCCAAATTTGCGGATGAAATTGAAGTCAAATAGAACCTCAGGGATGAATTTGAAGTTGAGTGCAAACTTTGGGGATGATTTTGAATTTTACCCGTATATCATGTAAATGCCGTTTGGCTCCAACAAAGCAATCAAAAGGTAAAACACTGAATTACCCAAAATAAAGCCCTAAAAATCACCAAAAAATAAAAGCACTGATAATTTATCAATAATATATTAATTTAAAATTTTAGTGATTTTCTCTTATTTTTTTCCATTGACCAGTCAAGTCATGAACTGAAATAAATAATTGTTCCGATAACCAAACTTGTTTTGTTTTGATATATACTAAATAGGGCCTTTCTTGATTTATTGATAATTTAATTTATTTATTATTTTGCTTTTATTAATTAATTGTCTTTTTCTTATTTATCTACTAAAGTAGTAGGTATAAGTCACATGTTTTATAGTAAACAAATCGAGTCCACCCAAACGTTAGAATTGCGTGTAAACAAATCGAGTCCACCCAAATGTTAGAATTGCGTAGCAGGCATCTTTATGGAATAATCGTGTTTGAGCTTAGATCTAATAAGCAATCGAGATTTAATATATATTTTTGTAATTTCTTTTTTCTAATCGAGTTTGAGTTCGAGTTCGATGTGAAGTTATTATTCAATAACTCATCAAACAAACCCTAAATATAATAATAGAGAAAGAAAAGAAGAAAACAAAGTCTTGTTTCTCCACCAATAGACAATTAGGACACTCTCATCTCATCTTATCCCCACTATGACTAGTCAAACCTCGAGAGAAGGTTTATTTACAAAAAAATCCCCTCATATTTTCATAATTACACCCACCCCTTGAAATTTTAAGATTTCGTACACCAACACTCTTTTGTAGGGGGTGGCTGTAAGAAATTTATAAACTGCAAGGGCCAACATGTAATTTCTACAAATCAAGGGTTTTTTTGTAAATCGACTTTACCTGAAGGAGGTGGTTGCAATTTAGTAATTTACCCTCCTATAAATAATAAACTTCAGATCCCACAATCTCACAAAAATCCCACAAAAAGAGTGAAAAATGGCAGATTTGTTCATCAAACAGGCAAAGCAGTACTCAGAGGGCAGGCCTTCTTACCCGCAGCAACTCTTCGATTTCATTGCTTCCAACACCCCGTCTCACGACCTTGCCTGGGATGTCGGCACCGGCACCGGCCAGGCGGCAAAATCGGTTAGTTTTCCACTTCCGTTTCACCGTTTCACTGTGTGTGTTCTTGTGTGTGATATAGTGACATACTACTGTGTGTTATACTTGTACTAACAAATCAATAACAATACAGCTGGCTAATTACTACAAGAATGTAATAGCAACAGACACAAGCCCGAAGCAACTAGAATTCGCAGCCAAGTTACCAAACATAACATACCGTTGCACTTCCGCCACCATGTCCGCCGATGAACTCCGAGAAAAAGTCGGATCCGAATCCAGCTTCGATCTAGTAACCATAGCTCAAGCCATGCACTGGTTCGATCTCCCCACATTCTACCAGCAAGTGAAATGCGTTCTAAAGAAGCCCGATGGGGTCATCGCTGCATGGTGCTACACTACGCCGGAAGTCAACCCTTCTGTTGACTCACTGTTCCAGATATTCTACAATGTTGGTGCCGGTCCGTACTGGGAGCCGGCGCGTAAGTTGGTTGAGCAGAAATACGAAACCATTGACTTCCCGTTCGAGCCAATAGATGGGCTCGAGCATAACGGGCCGTTTCGATTTAATTCGGAGAAGGTGATGGATTTGGAGGGCTACTTTACGTACTTGAGGTCATGGTCTGCTTATCAAACTGCTAAAGAGAAGGGTGTGGAATTGTTGACCGATAGTGTGGTCGAAGATTTTACGAGGGCTTGGAATGAAGACGGTCAATTACAGAAGATTGTCACGTACCCGGTTTATTTGAGGATTGGGAAAGTTGGCTCGTCTATTTGATGATGTTTAGGGAAGATATATTCATCTTCTTGTAATAAAGATGTATCGTAATTTATGTGTGTTTTCTGAAAGTACTATGTTCGTTTAGAATTCTGTGTTTTTCCGAAGATTTCCAGAACAATGCTAAAAACATCACGTTAACACAAAAAAGGATCGTAAAATCGAGAGGTAATGTCATTTCTACAAGAACAACGTAATCAAGAAGTAAAACTTACATCAAATCAAGAGTGAAAGAATAGAAGCCACATATAGTAAGTAGTCGGGAATATCACTCGGAAGAAGCGAGAGCTGACTGTAATACATCTTCAAGGTATTTCTCAGCAGCAGTATATTGCCTCTTCTTATCCTCGATTGCCAGTGCTGCCAAAGCCTTGTCCTGGATGAAGTAAGAGTCTCGAGATCAATATCCGATAGTTTCAGAGTTAGGAAACGAGAAAAAAAAAATTCAGATAATTAGTCGGAAATGAAAATTACGGGAGGCAAATCTTGGTAGCTTCGTAGTGTGTCGAGAATTGGTTTCGTTTTCTTCTCCAGGTCCTTCTTGTGCTCTGCCATTTCAACCAACACCCCGTGACTAATCTCGGGGCTATACCCCGCACGATTGAGCATTGCCTGTGATAAACATGTAACAATTAATACGCGTAATACTTTTTCTTTGGCTCGAAGCACAACTAACATGATTGTACCTTATAGTTAGAGTACTGTTGCAGATATTGTCTTTCTTTTGATTCCATTATCGTCAAATTCGTTTTCCAGTGTTCCATTTGAGCTTCGCAAGGAGGAATATCATCTTCCAATTGTGCAAATGTTCTGACAAGCATATAAAAATAATTAAAGAAATTTAATATTGTTCGGATTCAGATCAATCGGAGTTTAAACAACTATAGAAAGAAAGAGCTCGTAGATTCACCTCTTTAAATAAGTCAATCTTGCTATTGCCTTTCGTGTATAGTCGAGAAGCTCTTTGGATTCTTGCTGCACTTTAGCCCTCTTCTCTTCCACTGCCGTTTTTCTCAAAGATATATCTGCCATTGCTACAAGAAAACTAAAACATTTCTCCTTGTAAGTCGGACGTAACTCCCCCGTGTAAATACTTTATATTAAAATATAATTAAAACGGGAAAAAACCCACCTACTTAGTTCGGTATCCCGAATATTCAACAGATTCGCCACACTGGCAAGAACTTGGGAAGACGACACCACGTTTGATGGTAAACTCTCTTGCACTAACCCCACATGCTCTAGAATCTCTCTTATCCTAGCAGCTGTGGTCAATAAAAAATGCATTAAAAGAAACCCAGAGCAAAATCAACGAGGATCACTATGAAATAATTCCGATTAGTAAAAACCACACCGATTAGAGTGATAAACCGAAAGAAATCAATCACTAATCCATTATTTCCAGACTGTAACGCAAGCTACATTAACATATACGAGAATGGAAAATCGCTCAATACAAATGAAGCTAGAGAAGAAAGACAATACAGCATATACTAGACAAATGAACCTTGCGAGCGATATTCTATGGCTTTTTGACGAAAGTCATTTGCAACAATGGTAGCAGCCTGAGTTTTGGCTTGGGAAAGGGTGGCAATATTGTGTAAGTGGCTAATACTTCGAGGAGTATATTCGAACTCGGGCACGTCTTTTCCAGCTGCGTCAAATTGAGAAACGAGCCACGCTTTCACTTCTGCAATTCGATTAGTATCAAAGCCCGTGTTACCACTGCTCTTCGACGATTCGGACGAGGCAACCGAAAGAGGAGGAGAAGGAGGATCGGATCCCCCAACAACAATTTCACTCATTCTTCGGCTCCGATATTGCTTCGCACTTTACAAAACCTCGATCAAAACCCTTCACCACAAAACAAAATAAACGATTATACGTCAAATTAATACAGCACTCTTCAAACTTAGACTTGATTTTCACCAGCATTATAACTAGAAACACGACGACACGACGCAGTTTATCAAACGAGGAAATATACTGTAACATTTCTTCTCTCAGGGTTAATCTTTTTCTTTACTTTTATTTTTATTTATCAACAGAAATTTAATAAAGTAGATCGAACACAAAACTAAAAAGGCAAAAATCAAAATGCATCAATCAACCCAGGTTCGAAATTCACCAGAAACACTGTGAGCGAGACAATTACAACCTGAACCTCGTATGAATTGGATTGTCATTGTGTTTAAAAACAACAAGAAAAACAATAATCATGAAAACTGAACCTCAAACTTGAACAAACGTTGCAAATTAGAACTGAAGAAAAAGTGAGAGAAACCTGTAATTGAAGAGCGAGACCGACTGAGATGGCGGATCGCCGGCCGGTTTAATACTGTATGTTCGGTTGTTCCTTGTTCAGTGAAACTTTCCTTTCTGCAACTTTTTTTTGAATTAGATGAATCGGAAATCAAAATTGGGCTTTAAATTTTTATTTTTTTTAATTCTTGTATATAACTAATTGGGCTTTTTTTAATCGATCAAAATCTGGGCTTTATTTCATTCAGATACATATTGTTTTCACATAACCCAACCCATCAACCAATACCCCTCTCTCTCTCTCTCTCCTCATTCACTCTCTCTCTTCTTTTTTACCTCTCCGTCTCCTCCTCATCGGCGTATTCTTCTTCTTCTTCGTCTTCTACCGGCGTCCTTGTTATCTATATTCAACCCTAAACCTTGTTCGGACAAACCATTTGCTCTAAATTTTTTTTTTTTTTGGGTTTTGGTGCATTATTTATTGTCAAATTCCGCTTTTATTTACGGCATTTTTATTGGGGTTTCCAACAGAAGAAGGGCGAACGAACCAAAAAAACCAATGCACTGTCATGAAGTCCGAAGATTATTACTATGCATCTAGTAAGTCTACTCTGTCTTTTAAATGATTTACTTTTATTTATTTTCCTCTGAAATTAGAGTTCTAATTGATTGTACCAGCCAGAAATTTTTACATGGGGGGAAGAATTAAGGTTATACAGCCCCATTAGTTATAAATCATTTGACCGTTTGTTTTAAATCGTTATCCTTTGAATTGGTAGTGGAATTTCATACTGATATGTGTGTGTATACAGTTGAAGATAGTATGAATCCGTTGAGTGCGTATCTTTGCTTTATAACCCGATTATACAGTAGTTGTGTTCTTGGTTTTATATAAATGTGGATTGTGAGCTCGGATTCTTATTAGGGGTTGTGAGTTGTGACGTAATTAGATGTTTTGGATTGTGTTGCCTGATTCGTGGTAGGAGTGAGGCTCGTCTTAGGATGTGCAGGATGCTGAATCTAGAAAATTAAGTTTATGCTGTTATGGAATATTTTTGTTTTGGTTTTTGCGCATCGTCATAATGCCTTAACGGTTCCATGCATGTGAAGTTCAACTCTGTTTATTAGATACACCTGTCGAGAATATGTCCGAATGTACAAGGTCGAGTGAAGTTTCGAATGGTGAAAGATACTATTTTCTTGAGAAGTTTAGTCGATAGGAGAAATAAAATCTAATGGTTTAAACTCTGATATCTAGATTTTATTATTCTCTGGATTCTCGAATGAATGTTATATCAGGGGTTTTATCCTTCAATGATGTGAGGGAGGTATACGAACAAATGTTACAATATAATAGGAGAACGGGTTGTGTTGTGTGACGCGGCCTTTTTTTGCCTATTCTTGAGTGAACTACGTGGTATTCTTGAATTTTCGAGATGAAATGATTTCATCTAATGTGACAACATATACATACAGGATGTAGGTGAAAAGTGGAAGAATAACACGCACTTCTTGTCTGGTCCGGTATATAGGATATTAAGCGAGGAAGAAAAAATCAACGTAGCATCCATAGGGTATCAAACGAGGTTTAGTTTGGTATCAATGCTTGCGACGAGTGAATATATTTAGTTACCTAATTTGGCTTTTTGATGTTTTGCGTCGTCTGCTATGTGAATAGACAACTCTCAGCCGTGTCCTGTTTATTTTTTATTTTTTCTTCAATGTATGTCGTCTCTCCTGATAACTTCTGTATACGTAATCGTGACATGTTCTAAATATCGCCTTTTCTACATTAACTACAGATGTAACCAATATCAACATGATGGATTACTATGCAGCCAACCCTGGTCCAGTTGACGACTCCGTTTTATATGATCAAGAAAAGCATGTTTCAGCTGCTGTTTGGGAAGGGCAGGTGTTCATTATGAAACCATTTTTAATACTCTCGTGTATTGTTTCACTCGCAAAATTATTTCATTTCTCATTTATTAACAGGAGCGAGGTGCACTCAGGTGCCACGAACACACTTCAAAGCTCGACCGCTGGTTACTCACGGACAAACAAATCGAGTTAGTGAAAAAGGCAGGCTTTGGCTATCTGAGATTGATTCCAGCTATAAGTCTCGATAATCCACTTATATCTGCACTAGTCGAGAGATGGAGGAAAGAAACAAACACATTTCACATGACAGTTGGAGAAATGACAGTATCGCTCGAAGACGTTGCTTATTTGCTCGGACTACCAATTGATGGTGAGCCTGTCATAGGGGTAACTTACACCACATGTGATTCGATTTGTGTTAAGTACTTAGGTAAATCACCGGATTCTGGTTACACGAGCGGTGGAATGGTGAAGCTGAGCTGGCTGAAAGAGACCTTCTCTGAATGTTCTGAAAATGCCTCGATTGAAGAGATTGAGTGCAACACACGTGCGTACCTTCTTTATCTTATTGGAAGTACGATTTTTTCGACTACTACTGGTAATAAAGTTCCGGTTATGTACCTCCCTTTGTTTGAGAATTTCAACGAGGCTGGAAAGTATGCGTGGGGTGCAGCTGCACTGTCTTTCTTGTACAGAGCATTAGGTAACGCCGCACTTAGATCGCAGAGTACTATTAGTGGATGCTTGACATTATTGCAGGTGAACGAAACTAACTTCTTGTTTTGTTTAAAAAAAAAATTAATAAAAAGTATTGCCGTTGAATATTGTCTTTTCGTTTCTTGTAGTGCTGGAGTTACTACCACCTGAATGTTGGCCGGCCTAAACTTCACCACGACCCAATCCATGAATGTTTTCCTTTTGTACTTAGGTGGAAAGGAAAACACAGTGGGCCCACTTCGAATCGTGACGTAGCTTTCTATCGTAAAGCTTTGGATTGTCTAAAGCCCACTGATGTGAGTTTAAAATATGGTTGTATATATAAGTATAAAAACCATCCGACACTTAATATGGTTTTAACTTCAGGTTGATTGGTGTCCTTATGCGAACATAAGCCATACTGTAATACCGGAGAATATCTTAAATCAACTCATCCTAGGAAGATCGAAGACAATGTTGATATGCTTCGACAAGGCAGAAAGACACTTGCCCGATCGTTGTTTAAGACAGTTTGGCATGCATCAAACAATACCCGAAGAAGTGCATATGTGGGAAAGGAAAACTCGTGGTGTTGATGGTGGTGTAAATCTCTCTGGTAAATTGGAAGCAGAGCTTAACGAATGGGCAAATCGTCGTTTTCACGTTGTTGAGGCTGAGGAAGACCTGGACGAGGGTGAATACATGAACTGGTACTTTCGAATTACACGCAGAGTCGTGGGGAGGCCTGTATCTATCGCAGCCGAGTTTGAAAGATTGGTAAGATTCTAAATAGCTCACGTGTATGTATGTATATATATATTTTCAAGAAACGAGTTTTTATTTGAATACAATTTGTTTTGCTGAACGTAGAATGCTGCATTGAGGGATATTGCACATATAGCGGACACGCTTTCAACGCACGGGATGGATGAACAGCAAATACAATCTGTGACGAGGATTAGGTATAAAGCGCACGAGTGTTTGCGGGATCAAATTGGAAGCTCGATAACGGTTAATGTGGAAAATTCGGAAAACGATGTGGGAAAACGAATTAGAGGGAAAGAAAGGGTTAGAAGAAGGTCCGTGAGTAAACGAAGAAGGAAAGATGATGACCCTGACGAATACTATGCATTAACCAGTTGCACGAATAATAATAATAATGCCCAATCCCACTTATATTCGCCAGCTGTCGCTGATGACGTGGATGGAGGACAATTGTACCATGTGGAAAACGAGGTTGTTCTTCCTCCTCAGCATCTTTGTCTCGACGTTAATGATGTGGCAAAGGACTGTGAAGAAGCAGCTGCTGAAGAAGCTGACGTGGACCAACTTTCTCATGGATCGGAAGAAAGTCCGGGTGGGCCCCACGCTGCACACTCGTCTCTAGAAAACACCGAGGACGTCACTTGCCAGACGGATAATACCGTTGCAGCTTAAGACAGTTGACTTTTGCAGTTCTAATTATTTGCTGGGTGATTGATTTCTCCGGTTATTTAAGGTGCGTCTCTATGAATTTATTTAAAAAAAATATACGGTCATCTAAATTGGTTATATTATGCATCTGGATATAAACGAAAAAAAGAATCATATGTTCATGCAGGCATTGGAGTATCTAAGACAAAGTGCCGAGTTACTATTTTGGAGCTCCGTGGGAAGTTTTAGTTGGGTGTAATTAGGTTTAGACCATTCGGATGATTTTTTTTCTGGTTTTCTTCCTCCAATTATCAAGGGTGTAGCAAAAATTTTTCGACAAAAAAAAAAAGGTATGCTTTTGTAATTAATTCGACGATTTTGCAAATTGTTTTGCAGAAGCCAATATCTAGTTAATGTGTAGCTTTTTGCTTCTGTAATGAAGGTGGTTATTATTTACAGACACTGCAAAATGAAAGCATGTGAGCTTTTTACAGTCTGTAATGTTTGGTATTACAAGAAAACCATGATAACAGAATCTTATATTCGACACTCATTTGTAGCCTTTTGTTAGAAGTTTGTTTCCAGATTGATCATACTTGATGCCATTTTTCGTTTTCCTTCGACAAAACGTATTGAAACACGAACAGAGAAAACATGGAATTGATAAAATCAAATCAATATTTTGTTAAAACTCAGTGAAAACACAATTTAATTACTTATTATTATACAACATCAACACAAAGATGGAATTTTTCGACCTAAAAATGTAAAAAAATGACGAATACCGCGAATACATATATGAATCATCTATACACGAATTAAAATAGAAGAAAAAAAACATTTCTTTTGAGCTTAAATGACATCAAAATCGCCGATGTTAGTCGTTTTTTTCGAGTTTAATCGACTTATTTCAGAAAAAAAATGAAAAAAAATTGGTTCACATTATATTATGGGATGAAGGGCAAAATAGTCACAACCTATTAATCAAAATGTTCCTCATCTACTCCTTGAGCAAGTCAACTCCACCAACCAACAGCCAAGAAAATTCCTTTTCTGGATGAATGATCTCATTCAAACTCAATTCACCAATAATGGAATACTAAAGAATAATCATCATCTTTTTCTTCAGACAAACAGCTATGGCAGAAACATTCTTGTTCCTAATCACAGAGAGTGTCTTGTCCAAAGTTACTTTCCATGCTCTAAACCACATCGGCACAGCTTCGAACATTAAAACAGAGGTGACGAAACTCCACAACACTCTCTCCACCATTAGAGCAGTGATCCTCGACGCAGACGAACAGCGGTCCATTAACCACGAGGTCAGAGACTGGTTCGACAAGCTCAAAGATGCTGTCTACGACATCGATGACGTCATCGACGATCTCTCCACGCAAGCTCTGCAGAGGGACGCGGATTTTCGAGACGGGATTTTGATCCTGAAAAAGGTGACGAGATTCTTTTCCAGCTCGAACACTATTGCCACTCGATTCAAGATTGGTCGGAGAGTAGAAGCATTGAGGAAACGACTAGACGAGATTGCGGCCGACAGGAACAAGTTCCACTTCACCGAAAAACGCCGTTTATCGATACCGGTAGAGCAAACTCACTCCTACGTAAGACCCTCTGACATCATCGGTAGGGACGACGATAAAGAACAGATTGTGCAGCTTCTTGTTATGAGCTCGAACGAAGAAGAAGAGGGTGCTTCGGTCATTCCTATTGTAGGAATAGGCGGTCTTGGCAAAACAACCGTTGTTAAACTAGCCTACAACGACGATCGGGTGATTCAAAGCTTCGATCTTGGGATGTGGGTTTCTGTGTCCGAAGAATTCAGTGTCGGAAAAGTTGTCGAGAAAATCTTGAAATCCGCGACGGGCGGTGAGAGTTTCGCCCATCTTGATATGGACCAAATGCAAATTCGGTTGGCTGAAGTTTTGAGCGATAAAAGGTATTTGCTCGTGTTGGATGACGTGTGGAACGAGGATCGAAACAAGTGGATGGATTTGAGGGAGCTTCTGATGAACTGCCGCTCGGGGAGTAAAATCATAGTCACCGCGCGAAGCAAGAATGTAGCTTCAATTACAAGTACAATGCCACCGTATAATTTATCAGGCCTTTCGGATGAAGACTGTCTATCGTTGTTTCTGAAATGCGCTTTCAGAAACTCCGACGAATATTGTCCCCCTAATTTATTACCGATCGGAAAGGAGATTGTGAAGAAATGTGGCGGTGTCCCGTTAGCTGTCAAGACGTTGGGAAGCTTGTTATACATGAACACAGACGAACAAGAATGGCTATAATCAAAGAAAACGACATATGGGAAATCGATCAAAAGCAAACCGATATTTTACCTCTGTTGAAGCTGAGTTACGAGCGATTGCCGTCTTATTTGAAGCAATGCTTCGCATATTGCTCGATGTTGCCAAAGGGCCTCGAGATTCCAAGGGAGGTGTTCATCAACCTTTGGATCGCTCAAGGTTTCATACACTCGATAAACGGGACTAGACAAGTCGAAGATATTGGGAATCAGTACTTCAACGAGCTTTTGTCGAGATTCTGCTTTCAAGAAGTGGTGGAAGCTTTCGATGGGGAGATACTGGCTTGTAAGATACACAACCTCGTGCACGATCTGGCACAGTCTGTGGCAGGCCCGGATAGGGCCCGCCACATCTACTTACACGAATCGCCACCTAAGCCTTTGACCCGATCAAAAAAGGTGAGGTCTTTGAGATGTGCGTTCAAGATTAAACCTTCTAAAGACGAGGCCTTTATTACAGCGATTGCTAGGAGTTTCAAACGACTGCGTGTCTTGATACTGAACTCGCTCGAACTCGAGGAATTGCCGAGTTCGATCGGCGAATTGAGACCGCTGAGGTATCTTGATCTGAGCCAGAGTAGTAATATCAAGATTCTTCCGAATTCGATCTGCAAGCTCGTGAATTTGCAGACACTGAACCTTATCAACTGCGAAAGCTTCCAAGGTTTGCCGAGGAATTTCGGCGACTTAATCAGCATGAAAACACTGTACTTGACTTGCCAGGAGATGTCTCTGAGAAAGCGAGGTCCGAAAAGCTTCAGTTCTCTACAGTTCTTGCTTCTCTACAATTGCGACTTTGTGCAGTTGCCATCGGAAGGATTGCGCCACCTCACCTCTGTTCGAGTTCTAAGGATCTACGATTGCCCAAGATTAGCTTCACTTCCGAATAGTATGAAGTGTCTTTCTTCGCTTGAGAAGTTGTGGATTTGGAACTGTGAAGAGCTCGATTTGTGCGAGGGAGACGGATTAAAGGGGCTGAATGGACTCCGATCGTTGCTTTTAATGGGGCTACTACCTAAATTGGTCGATTTTCCGGTGCAGCTGAGAGAGAACGTGTCGAAAAGTCTACAGTTTCTACGTGTTGCGAACTGTGCTAATTTTACGGAATTCCCAGAGTGGATTACGAGCTTCACATTACTTCAAAGGCTTTATATTGAAGATTGTCCTAATCTCTTCTTTCTTCCAAATGGTGTCCGCAGAAATGTGTCGAAAGTGCATATTAGTGGCTGTCCAAAGATTTCATGAAATTATCATTCTTGATTTATTCGGTTTACAGATTCACCGAAAAACTGAAACTGAAATTTTCGTTCGATTATAAACACAGAACAGAAGTTCTAAGTTCTAATCATGTAATCATAAGTTCTCTATTCGCGAGCGACAATAAAAAATCAAAGCTTTTAGCATCATTCCACCATATACTCTTTAACGGTTACGCATCGTGAATAAATCAACAAACGAACGAAATCGCAGCTAGAAAACCAACATAACATACTCATTAAAGTATACATTACATAGATTTAAGTATACATTACATGACATTTGAGTGAGCATTGCAATTTCCATAGATCTAAGTATACATTACATAACATTTGTTTCTGATCTGCACAAAGAAATTAAGACAACTAAAATTCAGACACACAATCAAAAGAAAGAAAGGAAAACAATGTAAGAAAAAACAAGTGGATCATCAAGCAAACAAGAACTAGTGATTGTAAAAAAAAAAAATCGTATCTTTGTTAATCAACCAACACCGAAAGGACCGATATCACCAGTTCGAATCGAGCCCGCGATTTCATCGGCAACGATTAAGCAAGAAACCACCCAAGTACTCAATGCCATCCATATCATTCTTCCCACCCAAACTGTCATACTCCACCCCACTGCCATTTTTTCTCTAAATTAAATCCTCCCAAAATTCTTTTTTTTCTTCCTCCCAATTATTCAAATGCTTCAATCAAATTAACCGAAAATCGAAAAACCCCGTTGTCTGATCGACCTTCCAAGAAATCATCAATCAATTTAGTTTTTTTCCTTTTTCCTCACAAGTCAACCCAATATTTTCTCAGACATAAGATAAGGTTATGAACATAACAGATCAGTTTCAAGACAACAGCTTTTCCCACTTGATTCTCTTGTTTTCTTCATGAATCAAGAAGACAGCAGCAAATTTTCTTGATTTAAGAAATAACCCATTTCAAGATTTTCCATTTTCACCTACCTCTGTCACTGTGGCGGCAGCCCCACGAAGATATTTTCCCCAAATTTGAAGAAAAATCAGCCGAACCAGAAATTCCTAAATTAATACAATATTTTTCATGCGTATTACTTTGGCAATGGGTTTGAAGTGTAGACAATTTTTGGTAGAAATTGTGAACAAAGATCAGAAAACGAGATGGCACGAGTCATCATCGGAGTAGTAGCTCTTTTGTCTTATCTTCTCGTTTGAATATTGACTTCCCTTTTCCTTTTTTTTTTTTTCTTTTTTCTTAATTATTATTATGGCAAATTACGGCCAGCCCCTTCAGATAAGCTCAAATTATAAAAAATCGCCCCATGTTTGGATAATTACAACCATTCTCCTCAAATATGTAAACTGGATCAAACGTTTGAGTTTGAGTTTAATTGAGTTTTCAAAATAAATCGCGTACGAGCCCTAGTCAAAACAATAGCTCCGAATGAAGTCGTAAAACGGGCTTTTAGTGTTTTCAATGAACAATTTCGAATCAAGTATCAAATAATTTGACTTAATTTTCAGCCCTAGTCATAATATTAATATTTTTTTAAAAAATAAATGAGGTCATAATAGGTGGTGTTACATTTATGTCATGTCTAAGAATTCAAAACTCTAAACAACAATGTTTCCAAGAAATAAAAGGAATTGTGAAAATGAAATATAATGAAAAGAGGGGGTTGTGTGCTCTTTATTTTCATTCTTAGGGAGCTTGTAGTAATTTATTATTTTTTTTAGGGGTGCAATTGCTATTTCTCAAAAAATTCCTTGCCCTCAAAAACATTTCCAGCTATTTTTGACTGGTTCCATCAGACACACACACGGATAGATATACATACACATATACATATACATATACAAACATATACAAACACCCCCAACGGTTCTCTTTAGCCGACAATGGCGGCATCTACTCTTTCTCTCAGATCATTCTTCACCCCTCTTTCTACTGACCTTACTGATCAACATGTAAGTAATTTCTCTACTATTTTCCGCATTAGGGTTTATAAATTTAAGGGTTTTGTTTGATTTGCGGAAAAATCGCTGCTTTAGGCTTAGGTTAGCGTCATGGGTATTCAATTTCATACTGCAATTGGGGATGAATTTTCTGGCTGAGTGATTTTACAAAGTGAAAATATGATTAAATATATTTCATAATAAAACTGAAATATCATATTCATAATTTCATATCCATTGAATATTTTTCTAATACAAAACTGTTAATGGTTTTTAGGCTGTTCTGAACAGTAATCTTCCCTCGCATTTCGGGTGCAAAACGATAGCTCCGAAAAAGGGAAATTTGAAGTTAAATTGCTTGAGAAACAAAGAAATGGATGTCAGCAGATCGGCTGTGGTTGGCAGTAATGCCGACTGTGCTTCAATCGGTAAGTGCAGTTCAAAATGAATACAGTCTCGTTTCGACTAAACAAACAGTATTTCAAATTTCGAATATCGTTCGGTATTTAGTGAATAAGCGTAACCGTATTAATTAATCTATGGCAGAATCGGAGACCTTACGGACGAGTGACGAAGTGGAGCCGAGTGTTTCGACGATGTTGATGAATTTCGCCTCTGAGTTTGACCCTTATAGTGCATTGAGCACGCCTCTGTATCAAACAGCAACTTTCAAACAGGTCAATTTTTCAATCCGACATGTTATTTTTTTTATTTGAGTCTTTTGGTTCAGTAATTGATGATTTGATGCTCTGTAACGAAGAAATCTCGTAATATTTTGTATACTTGTGACTATTTTGCAGCCTTCTGCAACAGAAAACGGGGCTTATGATTATACAAGAAGTGGGAATCCAACTCGGGATGTTCTAGAAAGGTCTCGAATTCACTTATTTTACATTGCTCGTTAATCGTTATAGCTGCAGATTTCAACTTTTCTTTCTTTGTTATTAGACTTCTTGCGAAGCTCGATAAAGCTGATCGAGCGTTATGCTTCACTAGTGGAATGGCCGCCTTGTCGGCAGTTACTCATCTTGTTCGAACGGGTATTTCAACTTTTTTCATCTTTTGATTTTTCATTTATTTGTGTCGGATATGAAGTCCTTGTTCGTAGCAATTTCGGTTTGTGTACTTAAAAATGATTACAATTGTTTTGTTTACCGTTTTTCATCATGGCAGGTGAGGAAATAATTGCTGGAGACGACATATACGGTGGTTCTGATCGCTTGTTGTCGCAAGTAGTTCCGAAATCCGGAGTTGTGGTTAAGTTAGTAACTACTATTTTATTGTATTTTATTTACTGAAAAAATCTATTTTATTTTTCTGAATAATGTATTCATTGTGCAGGCGAGTGGATACAACAAATTTGGAAGAGGTTCGATCCGCCATTGGCCCATCTACAAAGCTTGTGTGGTTGGAAAGTCCGACGAACCCACGTCAACAGATTACCGATATTCGTGTTGGTCCTATTTAATTTATTAAAAATATATATTTTCTTCATAGGACTTGGCATTTATTTATTTAATAATTTTTTTTTTTTTTTGTGATTGTCATTTAGAAAATAGCTGAGATGGCGCATGCTCATGGTGCACTCGTATTAGTGGATAATAGCATCATGTCTCCTGTATTGTGTCGACCATTGGAACTTGGAGCTGGTAATAATGGTTTATGTTCGATAATTTTTCTTGGTTCTCAGAAGAGAATATTATGTATGAATTATGATGTGAACAAAATATGTCAATAAATTTTCAGATATTGTGATGCACTCGGCTACTAAATTCATATCTGGTCACAGTGATCTCATGGCAGGTGCCCTTGCTATTAAGGGAGAAAGGTTTGACCGACGAATTTCAATATAACGAGCACTTGAATTCTGCATATATTCTTCCTTTAGCGCATAAACTGATTCGTAAATTTGTTTATTTCGTTTGTTGCTTATCAGTTTGGCGAAAGAGCTGTATTTCCTACAGAATGCAGAGGGCTCGGGTTTAGCTCCATTTGACTGTTGGCTCTGTTTAAGAGGCATCAAAACTATGGCCCTTCGTGTCGAAAAACAACAGGTATTGTCTGAATGTCTTTTTTTTTTTGTCGTCTAATCATGGTTTCTTGTAGTAACTACTGTCTATTTTCTCCCAAATTAATCACTTATTGACTTCATAAGATTGAAATAACAATTTATGGGATTTACCACTTAAAAAATTCCCATTTTTCCCCCATGTTTCGAGTCTTATAATATTTGACAAACGAGCAGGAAAACGCACAAAAAATTGCCGAATTTCTGTCATCTCATCCGCGAGTTCAAAAGGTCAACTATGCTGGTCTAACCAGTCATCCAGGACGATCATTACACTACTCTCAGGTAAACAAAAAATCACACCCGACTTTCATTTCATCGGATTAATCTCGACTTTATTATATATTAATTTATATATTCATCCTTGTTGCAGGCAACGGGTGCAGGGTCAGTGCTAAGTTTCTTAACAGGTTCATTAGCACTCTCTAAGCATATAGTCGAGACAACCAAGTATTTCACCATAACCGTCAGTTTTGGTATATTCTTCTTTCTTGCCCACGTATTATTTTGATGCGACAAACTATACGTTTTTTCTTAATTCGAATTTGATATCATTAGATTATAGTTTTATGTTTTAGCTAATGGTTATTTGATTTGGTATTATTGGCAGGAAGTGTGAAATCACTCATCAGTTTGCCTTGCTTCATGTCTCATGCAAGTATACCTGCTGCTGTACGAGAAAGCAGAGGTTTGACTGAGGATCTTATCCGTATTTCTGTCGGAATCGAGGATGTCAATGATTTGATCGCTGATTTAGACAACGCCCTAAGAACGGGCCCCGCGTAATGCGAATTTACTCTCATAATTTGAGTTGTAGGATATTTCATTTATATCCGGTATTTGGTTTTTTCCCAAATACTCGGACAATGTTTGGAAGCATTTTAGGGATTTGTTTTCATTTCGTTTCGGGGGAATAATTTGAGAACGGAAGTAATGCTTAATGAGAAAGAATTTTTTTTTTAACTGTTTTGAAAAACTTTATAAATGAATATTCGTTTTGATGAAACAGGGGAAACAAAATCAAAATGCTATCAAACATTGCAAATATTAACAAAATCAAGTGAAGTTGCAAATCTCAAGTCGAAAAAAGGGAATATAATTCGACACTGTTTGCTCATGTCGAAAATTAATCCTGCTAATAATTACAGTTAATATCTAACTTGCAATGGTTTCTATTGTTCAAGACAAGAATAATTGTCCAAAAAAAAACTAACATGGGCAAGCTTTTGCTTGCAATGTATTCCGACTTTATTCTACGACTAGAATGGGCATTAATCATGTCTAAATTATCAACTTCGATCACGGAAGCTTCTATAACTCTAGAACCTATTCACAGAACAAGCTGTTGGCCCTGCAACAACAATCACAAACAAAAATGTTCGATTTTATTATATATGTATATGTATGTATGCGTCTACGATTTGTGATACAATTATGTAAATAATTGAAAGTGAGAGGAGTACCATTATTTAATCACTGCCGAAGTCTTCATAGCTCAACCGCTCTGATATTGTGTCCATCCTCCTAATATCTGTATACATGTAAATCATAAACTATACCATTTTTTTTTTTTCGATAATCAGAGACAATTTATCGTGTATGTCAAAAATGGTACCTTGTTCAACCCTGATATGAGGGTCTAGGAAGTTTGCATCTGTTCCCCGATATGGAGATCTCATATAGCTCTCTATATCTGAAGAGGTTAAGTTAAATACATCAATTCATATTGCACTTTCTTCTTGTCTCCTAGAGCGCGTGTGTGTGTGTGCGCGCGCGCGCGCGCGTGTGTGTGTGTGTGTGTGTGTGTGTGTGTGTGTGTGTGTGTGTGTGTGTGTGAGAGAGAGAGAGAGAGAGAGAGAGAGAGAGAGAGAGAGAGAGAGACCGGTACTATTAGAAAAATCAGCTGTCAAATCCGATAAACTGAAGTTTCGAGGCATCTGTCCCACAAAACCAAAGGAGTTCATTTCAGGGTCAAAAATGTTCTCGTTGAGAGGTTGCGAACTGGACTCACCGCCATTGAAATGAGAAACCGATGCTTCTTCTCCCATTACATTACCACCAAACATAAAAGGGGAGTCGCCTGCATAATAACCCTCTGGTTTAATCATAACACCATTGGTGTAAACATTAGGTACAACACTAATAGCTTGGTGCATGTTTTCCGGCCCTATAGCTGGTCCCACATGTTGTGGAGCCTGGTAAGCCGAGTTGTTATGCACTGCCAAATGTAATAAAAAGTATTAAAACTCGGATAAAGTCAAAGAACCAAGAACATACAGCACATACGAGTAAAGCCATAAATGCCAACAGAATATACAGTCGAATAGTCCGGATATACATTATACAAACAACTAAGCAATGTGTATGTATACGAGTCATTTTCTATATGAAATTACCATTAGCATATCAAAGAGAACTTACTTGAATGAATCTGAGATCCATTAGACAAAGAAACGGAAGCAACTCCGGACTGGCATACTTGGTGAATTAGATCAACCTGTTTCTCAAGCAACTGATTAAATCGCAATATCTGGTCCTTCACTAACAGCCTCAGATGATATGCCCGGAAAAATTCCTGATTTTCCGTTTCAAGTTTTTGCCACACTGGAAGGAGAGCCAGATGTTAATGTCTGAATGATATAACATGAATTACCAAGGGCATCAATAACAAATCAATACTGAATATCTAAACCCAATTTTATGATATAATGTTGATTGTAGTCGTTTAAATTTTTTGTTTCCAACTACTTCATTGATTATAATACGCATGAAAGTAAACATTATATTAAAAAAGCAGATAGATGAAGACAGGAAATTTAATTACCAAGTTCAGTGAAACCAGGCTCGATTTCCGCCTGCTGTAACAAAGTGCTTACAACTTCCCTCTCACTCATGTAAAGCTGAAGACACCTTTCTATAAGATTTTGAACCTGATACCAGAAAGGAAGACAACATTAGCAGCAAATATATATAAATATAAAACAAAATCAATAAAAAGGCGGGAACGGAAAAGAAGGCTACAACTATTGAATACAATAAATGCAGCTCGAATGCGACAAATTTAGCTACAGAGAACCATCATTTATTGTATATGCCAGAGTAGGTGAATGGCTCAAAATGCTTTGATTAAACCAAGGTAAAAAGAATCCACCTCAATCAAAGAGTAATTTTAAGGAATTTGATATTCTTTATATAAATAAAAAATAGGACAAAACAGTGATTAAAGATTTTAGCATCACGGGAAAAAAGTAATTGTTGCACCATGAGAATACCTACACGAAACTTCTTTATGCAAACACGAGAAGGGATATGATTGTTCTCGTAGATCCAATGGGTTATAATGAAATGGAAGATCAGCTTCAGTTCGAGTTATCAGTCATAAGATTCTATCCTATCTCAAGTGTTTGAGGATTTCTTATCTTTTATAAACTTGACTATACTGAATGAACAATGTACAGTTCATCTACTTAATGATTTACAAAAGGTACAGTTCATGCCCTTCCTCCCAGTTTAAAAGATACAATTTATCATAATTGCAGAAAAAACGAGATATATAAATAATATATACACGCTAGAGTAGAAAACTTACCAACTGTATATCCTGTCGTGAGACTTTTCTTCTGACTTCTCCATTTGACATTTTGCAAGTTCCCTAAAAAGATAAGATTTATTTTAGAAGGCCAATTTATCACACCACAACAGGTAAGATACACGCTTCTCAGATTCGTAGTTGCTTATCAATGTATGTCCAATGCATAAACAGAAAGAATAGAGACAACGACGCGAACCACTTAATAAATGGTTTCAAGAAATGCATTCTCAGATTCTTGGAAGAGTACTTTCGATGTCAAGAAATGCATTCAAAACCGAAAGAATGGTTTCATCGTGAAAGGAAAGCTCAAATTTTATTCCAGCGCATTAGTTTCAATTTAAAACAGCTTGCTACAATCTAATCTTTCCGACAGCTTCTCGGAAACGACAAAACAAACATTTTACACACGTGTAATTCGTGTTTTCCGGACCGACATAAATACAATTCAAGACATAGTTATGTTCATGCCCCTCCCCTTCCGCCCTAAAAATTACGACCCCAAAAAATCCCATGAATCACTAGCAATTACATCATAGAAAATCAAATTATTATTGAATATCACACAGCCCTTCAATTTCAGCTGTGATCATCCCTGAAACAACCCAACCCACCACCCCACCGCCGCCGCCCAGAATTTCGACTTATCAGCGGCGTAGGGCAGGGAAAAATTGATCATTTTCAACAGGAAAATCACACATGCACGTAATTCAAGCAATTGCGCGACAAAAAGATAAAATGCAGCAAATAAACTTGAAACAATTACATGAAGAAGAAGAAAAAAAATGAATCTTTAATTTTGCAGAAGAATACCTAGGGTTTTTCAGACGGAGCTTTTGGTTCCGGTTGCAAATAGAGAGAGAATTCAGAGAGAGAAAGTGATGGGGCCGGGGGCCGCCGGGCTGCTTTAAATCATTAACCAGCCGCGTTTCAATATTTCCAGGTAGACTTTCGTTAATACCTAATCAGCGTACAACGCCTGCTCCCTAAGGTACAATACACTCATTAGGTTTACTGTACTGGCAGCGACAAACGCCAGATCATAACTAATTTCCTATTCTATTCTCAAATAAATGTACCACTATTTCTTCGAAACGTACAACTTTGTTATGCTCGTTTTGTTCTCAATTGGTTGGGTAAGTGGCATTTTGGTCCCAAACTTTAGTGTCGTTTGCACATTACCCCCTGAACTAATTTTTATTTACAATTTTTTACCTGAACTCGTAAACTGTTGGCACGGTGCCCTAAATTTGCCGGAATTGTTCAATTTTCACCGGAATCACACTCACATTAGTTGCACATGAGATATTTAAAGGTATAATTGTTAATTTATATCAAACTAAACCCTAGCCCTCTTATTCTCTTATAGGGTCTAAATGAGTCTAGTTGAAAGTATGACTGTTCAAGCTTTAAAAGTTGTGTTTGATCTGATATTATAAATAAACAACCGAGTCGCACGTAGTTAAGCTTCTAATCGAGCTCGAGCTAGAGCCAAATATGCATATCAACATTGAATACCAAATATAAATATGCCCAAATGCCATTATAGAAAATCAAACACCTCATATATATATATACATATACATTTTCTCCTTGTACTAACTACTCAAAAAAAAAAAAGGATGACGTGTCAGGCATTAATTGGACAAAACAGTAAGAGCACCATTGTATCTGGGCCTAGCTCTGTCTAGTGGAAGACCATCATCCATTGATTTCCTCTTATTATTATTATTATTGCTGTTGTGTTGCTGCAGAGATTGTTCTTCTGTCGGTAATCTGATTAAATCAGAATCTGATTGCTCAACTTTAAAATCATGTTCTTGATTTTCTTGAAAATGATTCTTGTTTTTCATCATCATAATCATATGTGGCTTCAGTTTATTCACATCTGTTAATCTCACTGGCTTCAGGAAAAATTCCTCTGCTCCTTCTTCCAAACATCTGTGTTCAAACAAAAAAAAAAATCAAACATTAATCATTTATAACAATATAAATAAATACCCTTTAATTTAATAAATACAAGATAATTAATTAATTACCTGGTGATTCTTGATTGCACATTCTCAGATGACATGATCACCACTGGTATGTTTTTCAGATATGAACATTCCTGTCAATTTTAAGGATATATTCAGCATGTAATTAACCATAAAAATCAAATATTTTTTTCATTTATTTATTGAAACTAAAATCGGAACAGCATGTAAGTAACCATAAAAATCAAATCTTTTTTTCATTTATTCATTGAAACTCAAATTGGAACTATAGATTTATGAGATTTAACCATAAAAATCAAATCTTTTTTTTTTTCATTTAAGCTCGGATAAGTAATTATTGTTGGCAATTTGTTTATCTCTCACACACAAACAAGAGAGAGATAATTACAATACCTTAATTTTAAGGTTGCCCTTGTTATATTCAGCATGTAATTAACCATAAAAATCAAATCTTTTTTTCATTTATTCATTGAAACTCAAATTGGAACTATAGATTTATGAGATTTAACCATAAAAATCAAATCTTCTTTTTTTCATTTAAGCTCGGATAAGTAATTATTGTTGGCAATTTGTTTATCTCTCACACACAAACAAGAGAGAGATAATTACAATACCTTAATTTTAAGGTTGCCCTTGTTATATTCAGCATGTAATTAACCATAAAAATCAAATCTTTACTTCATTTATTCATTGAAACTCCAATTGGAACTGTAGATTTATGAGATTTATTAACCATAAAAATCAATTCTTGCTGGCAATTTGTTTCTCTCTCACACACAAACAAGAGAGAAAATTAGAATACCTTAATTTTAAGGTTGTGCTTGTTATATTCAGCATGTAATTAACCATAAAAATCAAATCTTTACTTCATGTATTTATTAAAAACTCAAATTGGAACTATAGATTTATGAGATTTACCATAAAAATCAATTCTTGCTGCCAATTTATTTCTCTCACACACAGACACACACAAACAAGAGAGAGAGAGAGAGAGAGAGAGAGAGAGAGAGAGAGAGAGATTGCAGAAAGAAATTAGAATACCTTCATTTTCTTGAGCAAATCATAGCCAGTCATCCCAGGCATACAATAGTCTGTAATAACAAGATTAACTTCCACAGAAGTCTGATTAGAGCTGTGTTTCCTCTCACCATCTTCATCATGCCTCCACCCAAGAAATTCCAGAGCTTTGCTACCAGAATCAACTGTAGTAACTGCCACAACCAAAATTCAAGAATCCCAATTGAAAAGAAATCAATATCCCAATTACAAAAATCCACTGATTTCAAAAGAAAATCAAACCCCATTACTAAAAAAAATCAAGAAAGGCAAAAATTACCTTGGAAAGAAGAGATCTTGAGCAACCTCTCAATGAGTTTTCTGTCAATCAAGCTATCATCAACAGCAAGAACATGAAACTGAGAATCTGCAGCCACCCCCATTGCAATGATTTGATTATATGAATTACTTAAGAAGGCCAAACCCCACAAATTTAAAGCAAAGATCTGATTTTTTTCCAAGTTGCAGAAGAACTGGGAGCTAAGAGAAATAATAAAAAAGGAATCTTGAACATGGCCTCATTTTTTCATTTCTTCTGTATCTATATCTATACTAATTCAACAAGGGTATATTTGACACACACAAATATTCTCTCTCTCTCTCTCTCTCTTACTCTACCATTTTCTTGTTTTCACAGGTGTCTTTTCTTTTTATCTTTACTCTCTCTCTCTCTCTCTCTCTCTCTCTCTCTCTCTCTATAAAATTGGTAGTAAAAATTAATTGTGGTTAGGGACCCAAAAATCAGGATTAGATAGAGATAATGTCAGCAAATGTAGCCTTTATTCATAGTGAAATCATGTGCGTTTACCATATCTTTGAGCAGGTGGGGAAATTCTCCAAAGACACCCCAAATTTCTTTTGATCCTCTTTTTAGATTTGCTTCCCCACCACTCCCTATTGCAATTATTTTTTATTTCTTTTTAAATAAATTGTTTTGTCATTTTCTTTTTTCATTTTCAATATTGTTATGTTTATCAACTTATCCACTTAAGATTAATAACTGTCTTTTCTTTGTTTTAAAATTAAATGTAAATAGATTAGAGCAACTCTAACGAAGTTATTAAACGGGATATCAAAATCTTTAACTTCAATGTAGTTATTACACGAGAGTTGTATTCTGATATTTCATCTTTTAGGATATTATGTAAAAAAATTACTTATTTATCAAATTAATTAGGCACATATTATTTGTTTAGTTTAATATAAATCACTTTCTTAATTGAACAAAATTTAAGTGCAGATAAATAATAAGATCTCATGATGTGACATTATTTCCAGAATCTACCAAACAATTAAATTTGAGTGTTTTTATTTAAATAAAAATAAATAAATAAATGGAACAATTGCTTATACAGATCAATATTTATATCAGGACCACAAAAGACTGTGACTGGTATATAATAATAAGGGACAAGATCCAAGATTGCAGATTTTTTCTTCAAAGGGTAAATTTCAAGAAAATTACTGTTAATTTTCTTGAAATAAAATATGATTTTTTTTTTTTTGAATTATTAAATTGCTTTATTTTACTATTTAAAATGGTGACGAATTTGATAGTAGCCCTTTTATTAGGACAGTGTCCCTCAGAATTTAGGACAATGGAATAAATCAAGAAACAAATAGATCCCTGCTAGATTTATGTCCACACATTAGGAACCTTACATATGTTAGCCAATCAAATTTCATCATTGTTTTGACCCTACATGAAATTTACTATAGATACTGACATTCTTCTGTGCTGCTAAATTTAATGATCATTAAAAATAAAATTTAAATTAAAAACATTTAGTTTTTTGTAAAAATTGAGTAAGTGGGATTTTACCTTTTTTGAAGTAAAATAGTGAAAATTCGATTTTGCAAATTTTCGTGGAAGTAGGGTACAGTTGTATCCGAACAACATTGATTTGTGTTTTTTGTTTAATTTTGTTTTCACGAACTTTTTAAACACGTACAACAACAGTAACAAAAAACTGAATCTAACATGAATTAATATGTTTGCGTGAAATAAAACTACATGATATTGCTCCGAATTTAGTGGGTCGGCGCAATGGTCTTAAAGACCAACGGTCTCCAAGTTCGGAAATTTTCAAATCTAATATCGGGAATGTCGAGTGTCCTTGCCACGTGTCCAAATGGATCGAATGTGTGGGTCCGCTGAATGGGCCCGGTGATTACAGGAGTATCCCTAACCAAGTGAATAGTACATTATCTTTATAGGTGGTTTTGGTTGTCGATCTCTTGTAGAGAATCAATTTGGGACAATGGCAGAAATGTAAAACTTCTCGTAGAGACTCGACGTGGAAGAAATGTAAAAAAGTGGTGCTCTAATTGGATTTTTCTCTTAATCGGATTTTTAAATGAAAACACTTTTAACTATGTTCATATGAGTTGTTGAAATGATTTATTAATTAAGATGCATTGAACCTTCCTAGATGGGGCTATTTGTTTAAGAGATATGCTTTGTGCATGAAATCTACCTTAATTAATAATTATATATATTAATTGACTTCATTATCTTCAACATTTTTTTAATCATATTATTATATTCTACATATTAAATAAAGTATGATAATATTTTAATCCAGCTTGTAACACAATAATATGGTCAAATATACACTTGTCTTCCAACCAAACCCAACAAAATAATCTAATTAACTCAAAATAATAAATAGACTTATAATAAATAAAAAATAATAATAATCATGCACACCACCAAAAAGAGGAAAATGAAGGGGAAATAAAAAGAGAAACATACTCCATGTACAGTTGCTTTCTTTCTTTTATTGAAAGTAAATCAATTCTTCAATCACAAATTAACACAACTTTTATTGTTAAATACTCCATCCATTTTTAAATAGGTGTCGTTTTTTTTATATCAGCACAAACTTTAAGAAACTCAATAAATAAATATTTCTTGATTTTAGGAGAATATATATTGTTAGACCAAAATACCCTTGTTTACTACTTAATTCAGAGAGAGTATTCGAGAGTTAATAAGGACATAATTAATAAATATGTAATGAATGCTGTATTTGAATTTCTAAAATAACAGATAATACGAAATGAATGGAACAGAGGAAGTACAATTTAGTTGATTTAAAAAAAAAAAAAAAAAAAGTGGTACATAGTAATAACAAATTTTAATTGTGCATATTATTATGATTGAATTTTATTATTGTTTGAAGAAGAGTTAAATGAGATGGTCCCAAAAACTCACATTCCAATGAAGGATTTGGTCTTAAAAACGAAGGATTCTTTGTTATCAAATCATTGATTCTTGCCGGCTATTGTGGGTCATCTCACCTTTCACTAAAGACACATGCCCCAAAAAATAGAAAGGATAAAAAATAAATATTTAATTGTAATTCATATTTTCTTAACGTTGAAATAATATATATAAAAAAGAGTTTAATTCAAAAATTCGAAACACAAATGTATAAGTGGTTGGGCCGATATGATATTCGATATTCAGCAAAATCGGGTGGTCGGGTTGGATAAGTAATCGGCCGATAATCGCCCGACCCTACCCATGCTCAGCCCTAACTGCAAGACCTCTTCTTATTCGTCGTGACTTCCATTTATGATTTGTGCGGTTATTTTTGTACAAAATTCAAATTAGGCTCGGATTAAGTGGTAATAATGAACATTAAGGTGGTGTTTGCAAATGCTTTTTGAAAGTGATTATGCGGTTTTTTTGCTCATAATCTATTTGTAGGTGTTTGCAAAATCAACTTTTGTTTTTGCTTCTCTTAAAATAATCTGCTTTAAACTATTTTTTTAAAAGCACTCCTAACCCAGCTTTTTCAATTTTAGTTCATTTTCCGAAATATTTGCAAACACCCCAAACTTTTAGAAATAAGCACTTAAAACTAACTTAAATCACAATCACTAACTTCTGCTTTTAAATAATCATTTGCAAACACCACCAGAACAATAATTGAATGATTAAATATTGATTTAAGTATAATTTGTACCCTTTGGAAGAGATGTTGGGGCAAATGTTGTCTCTAACAAGAATTAAGGAGCCCCATTTAGGGGCACTTTTATATGTTACACTGACTTACACACGTGTGATAATTATTTTATTTTAAAAATGAAAATTCCGAACATTTAATAATGGTTATAAGTACAATTAATTTTAATGTGTTATGATTATATGGGCCTTCCTTAAAATTAATCAGATTTCATGGGCTTAATTTATTATGGGCTTAATTGTATTATGGGCTTCATTTAATTATGGGCTTTTTGTAACGACTATTCAGTTTTGTATGTATAAAAGCCCATTTTGTTAAAATTTGTTTGACCTAGATTTAGAGGGTGTTTGGCTAAACTTATAATATGTTAAAAGGAGCTTATAAGATGTTTTAGAGCTTATAAGCTCTTCCAAAATGTTTGGTAAATTTTTAGAAAAATATCTTATTTTTTTTAAATAAGCTGTTGGAGAGCAAATAAGATCTTTTTAAATAAGTACCTCTACTCCACCTTTTTATTTAAGATCTTTTAATGAGTAAAAATAGAAAATAAGCCCATTATCCAAACACTCTAAAAAATAATCCTAAAATTAAGATGTAACAGTTTATCAGCTCTTAAAACATCTTATCAGACGTAAGAGCTTATCAGCTGTTTAAAATAAGCTTAGCCAAACACCCTCTTAGTCATAAAACGAACAAATTAAACACGTATTTTTATATAAAACAAAGTATAAATAAAGGTTGGTTCAAATTCAATTTATAAAATACATAAACGTAAACTATATTAAACTAACTATATACGACGAGTTCGATTTAGAGAGATATTGAGAAGTAGATCGAATTTGGTCATATAATAGATCGCCTCTTTTGTTTCACCAACTAGGCTACCGTGCACAAAAAGATTCAAGCTAAACTTATAAAACATTTGATGAGGGAATTCCTAATATTTTGACAGCAAGATCGATAGTAATAGTAGATATTGCTTGATGGGTTCAGTTCGGCAATTTTGGGCTGAACTTCGCTAAAAGTTGGGCCTTCTATAATAAATAAAGTGGATCATGAGAACTAAAGGGATTTGAGAGGCCGAAAGCCCATTAACATAAGTCATAAACCACAAAGAGCTCGCCGGTATAAATGAGAAGAGCTCGTTACCAGAAAGAGCGCAGACATAAGAGTTCATTGGAAATACTGAAGGACGCTAGGGAAATGAAGATTCGGAAGAAATCAAGGTGTGGTGGGTGGCAAGCTGGCGAAGAGCCGCCGTTAGAATAGAAAGACATGAGATTTATATTCTATAGATAGACTAGGAAAGTAAATCAATTAATGTAAATCTCGGTTTTCCAATCTTTAGATTGTCTTCGCCGGTCATAGCTCCGAAGTTAGGTGATCTTTTCCGACAATCAAGGGAGACTGTATTTTGAAGAATGTCTTGAGTGTATAAATTCTATACCATCATTATTTTCGATACTCCGGTATTTAACAGTTAAAAGATGATCATGTTAAACTGTACATAAAATATTTTATAATTCGTTTTATAATAGCAAACGACTCTTAAAATAATAATAATAACAATATAACAAAACATCTCTAAAAACTCATATTATAACGCTCTTCTTAATTGTTATAAACTAATCAAAGTGCATTGAATAAACTTAGTTCGAAGAAATTGTTTTAAGAAATTTATAAATCAGTAAATGTGTTTATAATCTTGAAAAATTCTCTCAACAGTAGTATTATAGTATTGTGAGAAAAATAAGAAAATAAAGAAATAGATTTAGTAAAATTAGTAAAAAATAATAAAAATTCACTATAAAATCATCCGTTCGATTATTTTCACACAAGGAAATAAAAAATAAATAAAAAAGAATTAATAAATGCAATTAAAAAAAGAGCAAAAAACACCAAAGAGTCATCCCCTTTTCTTCGTCTCTTTCTGCCACAAAAATCATCCGCTTCATTTCTTCTTCTTCGATTCCTCGTCAGAATTAATGGCATCCGAAAACCCTTGTTATTTTTTGTTTTTCAGCTGAGAATAAAAGAAGACCCCGTAAAATTGAAGCCCCTAATTAGAAACCCTAGCCCAGAATCTGTTTGTCTGCATGTTTATGTATTGAATTGGGGGTAATCAAGTGCACTCCTGTTCGGATCTTTTCAGATCTGGTGCTGTGTTTTTGTTGGGGTAAGTTCATTTTTTTTTTTAATTTATGTTTTGTTTCTTGATTTCTCGTTTCTTATTGGAAGATTATGTTTGGATTTTCTCATTTTGTTGATTGTACGAAGTCGGTTGATTTTAGGGTTTTGAATTGGTTGACTTATATGTGTTAATTCCTGTGATTGAATTTGATTTTTCTTTCTGTTAGTTTTTTTGAAGTTCTGCGCAGTTTGAATTTGTCTGATTGTTTTTCTTTTTTCACATGTCGGTGGATTGATTTTAAGGTTGAAATTGCGTGTTTTTGTAGGCCAGTTTCTTTGTGAATTTGTTGATCTCAAAACTGAATGAGCACATAGTACAATTGTTTTGGAATTAAAATCTTTGCTCGATTGTTTTTCTTTGGCTATAGGAAGTCTTGATTAGCACAGTTACATGGACAAAATATGTGGATATTTTGTCATTTACGCCCCTGTTGTTTGAGTCTCTAGCTGTAAAGATACGTTGTATAACGGCTAGTCGCATTTAAACATAAAGTGATTTTATGAACGGAACCCGTATATATTTTGTCTGTTGGTTTATAAAAGGTAGAATTAAATGCGTTAGGTATCTGCCAGAAATCGAAATAGCATTTGTAACTTTGTATTCACATTTTTGGAGTTACTGCAATCAATTTTGCGCTTTATTCCTTTTTTTTTTTTTTTTTTTTTTTTTTTTTTTTTTTTCGTGGTTCAACTTTATTTCATATGTAGTTCACGCTTGTCTTTTGGGTGCACGTGGAGCAGTATGGCTATATATAGTTTTTTCTTTATTCCTCTGTCAATTTTCATATCTAATTAAAAGTTAATGCCACAGGCAGTTCCTTGTGGATTAAATGTTGTATGTTTCTGCGGCAGCAGCATATTGTGGACTTGATTTTTGTGAGACTTTGTTTAATGGAAGATGACCATGCTGATGGATAACAACATAGAAAATTCTTCAAGAGAGCGTGTACAGCGCCTCTTAGACAAGGTTTGTTATCGTGAAGTTCCATCTTATGGTGGATTATTCTATGCTGACACTCTGCATGTTGATCCACAATACTTTAATTTTCCTCCGCTTTCTTAGAAACATAACATGCTGCGTGTTCTGTTGTATGGATTTTCTCTTGGTGTAGAATACTGAGTTGGAAAATAAAAGAAGGAAAGCAGCACAAGCCAGAATCCCATCAGATCCTAACACATGGCAAAATATGCGTGAAAATTATGAGGCCATTGTCCTCGAAGACCATGCCTTTTCTGAACAACATGAGGTGGAATATGCTCTGTGGCAGTTGCACTATAGGAGGATTGAGGAGCTAAGAGCACTCTTTAATGCAGCTCTATCTTCAGCAGGATCAGTTGCATCCCAAAATGGGAAAGGTTCAGTTCGTACTGGACCGGACCGACTTTCAAAGATCCGTTTACAGTTTAAGACCTTTCTTTCCGAGGCGACTGGATTTTATCACGATCTGATGTTAAAAATACAAGCAAAGTATGGTCTGCCATTAGGATATCTTTCTGACGATCAAGACATTCAGATTCCAATGTCAAAAGATGGAAATAAATCTTCTGATGTGAAAAAAGGCATGATATCCTGTCATCGATGTCTGATTTATCTGGGGGATCTTGCTCGTTACAAAAGCTTATATGGAGAAGGGGATGCTAAAGCTCGGGATTTTGCTGCTGCTTCAAGTTATTATATGCATGCTTCTTCCCTTTGGCCTTCAAGTGGCAATCCACATCATCAGGTGCATTTTTTGCAGATTTTTGCTATCATTTCCTGTTGACATATTCCTATTAGCTTTTATTTGACTTGATTTTTGTTTCTGGGTTATCTAACTTGGAAGTTATCCTTATCAATTTTCAGCTTGCTATACTAGCTGGATATTCGAACGATGAACTTCTGTCGGTTTATCGTTATTTTCGAAGTCTAGCAGTTGAGAATCCTTTCATTACTGCAAGAGACAACTTGATTATTGCATTTGAGAAGGTAAACTCAGTACTAAAGAACTGCAAATGCATAAAGTGCATTAGACTTGTATCCTATAGTTCATGTCTTGATGCTTATAAATTGCTCTTTGTCCCGTTACTGGTCATTATTTTTTGCCTATATCTGCAAAGCATATATTTAGCATAAAACCAGCCAGCCAAAACCCCAGTTTTAATTTTGGTTTGGTACAATTAGGGAGGTACAAATCAAACTATTAACTGCAAGTGTGCGAATCATGCATTTTAAGCTAATATCTCTGCTCTTATCTTAATCAAAGTTTCTTTTTATTCCTTTCTGCCGCATTGAAATTGTTTTTGCAAGGATATTGGTTGATGATTTTTTCTTGGGTGTTAGTGAATGATAATGGCTGACTGTTTATTCACTAAGCAGTTGGGTATTTTTGAGCATTATGTTTTTTTGAAAGACAATGTGATGGATGCAATAAAACGAACATGACTCCTTTATGTTGTCAACTGCAACTAAATATATGTTTTCCCTTCGCTGCGCAGAACCGTCATTATTATTCCCAGTTGGTTGGTGATGCCAAAGCTGCTACAGTGAAGACGACACCTTCAAGGGTGAATGGGAGATCAAGAGGCAAGGGGGAAACAAGGCCTTCCCTCAAAGAAAATAAGGTGGAAGCTAGTGCAGTCAAGGAGAGTGCTTCAAGTAAATTTGAACTGTTTAGAGTCTTTATGACACGATTTGTTAGGCTGAATGGTATTCTCTTTTCACGTACAAGGTTCGTTCTGATTTCAATAGTATTAGAAGATTGAACTGCAATTTGATCATTTTTGACTGATACAACTAACATCAAAATGGTAACCGTTTACTGATATTTCTTCTCATGGTTTAATTCAGCCTGGAAACCTTTGATGAAGTGTTCTCAATGGTTAAAAAGGATTTATTGGAGCTTCTTCCTTCTGGTCCAGATGAGGAGTTCAACTTTGGTTCAGCTGCTGCTGAGTGCAGACTTGCAATTGTCAGGATGGTCGCTGTTCTAATATTTACTGTACATAATGTTAATAGGGAAATTGAAAAACAATCATATGCCGATATTCTACAGCGTCCAGTCCTGCTTCAGAATGCTTTTACTGCGACATTTGAATTTATGGGCTGCATTCTTGAACGATGCAACAACTTGAAAGATCCCTCATCAAGCTTTTTTCTGCCTGGAATTATGGTTTTTGTTGAATGGTTGGCCTGTCACCAGGAGGTTGCAGTTGGCAGTGAACTGGAAGAGAAACAAGTAAATGCAAGAACCTTTTTCTGGAAGAGATGTATCTCTTTTCTAAACAAGCTTTTATCAAGTGGGGGTATCTGTATTAGTGAAGATGAAGACGAAACATGTTTTTCTAATATGAGCAAGTATGATGAGAGCGAGACTGCAAATCGTCTTGCATTACATGAAGACTTTGAATTGAGAGGGTTTCTTCCTCTTCTTCCTGCCCAGCTCATCCTTGATTTTTCAAGGAAAAACTCATTTGGAGGCAATAAAGAAAAGATGGCTCGCGCTCAGCGGGTTATTGCAGCTGGAAAGGCTCTTGCTAACATCGTCCGAATTGGTCAGGAGGGACTGTATTTCGATGGTAAACTGAAAATATTTGTTTTTGGTGTTGAACCTCAGACGCCTGATGATTATGTGCTCACTAGTCATTTGGAACCCAATTTGAGTGTCCATTTGGAACCCAATTTGAATGTCGTGTCAGACATTTCAAAGACAGAGGTTGGCAGAGAAGCTGAGGACGAGGATGATGAGGTCATTGTTTTTAAGCCATCCACTACTGAGAAGCATGTGGATGATTTCTCTTCAAAATTGGCTTCGTCAGAGGTTCTCGCTTCTGTAGGTGGGGCTTCTGGGAATGAAAGTGGGGCATTCTCTGTTGCACATGGTAATTTCCTATTGCAGGGTCCATTAAATGCAAGCTTGAAACCTCTTGCAACCGGTACCGACACTTTTGCTAATGGCACTTCTCAATATCTGCACCCTGTCCAGCCCAGCATTTCAAAATGGCCGGTAGAACAAGTACCAATTGTGAATGGTTTGGCCCACTTGAATATGATGGAAACTGGATCCTTGATGAAGTCTGAGCTGCAAGATAAGTTTGGAGTTTCTCAACCGGCTTCACATTCTGTGCCCTATCCCCATTTTGTAAATAATGGGATCAGCCATAATTATCCGATTCAGATTTCACAAGGCTCGATTATATCATCCGGAGCATCTTCTGGCCTATCTGTGAGACCCTTTTCTGTCATGCCACCACCAGGCTTGAAGAAGAATCCAGTGAGTCGACCTGTTAGGCACTTTGGTCCCCCACCTGGTTTCAGTACCATTCCTTCTAAAGTTGTGGATGAGCCATTGTACAGCACGCCCTTGAATACCGAAAATCCCATGATTCCGCATATCGATGATTATAGCTGGCTAGATGGATACCAGTTGTCTACATCAAATCAAAGTGTTGGATTCCCTAATTCAATCAATCAACCGGGCCTCAATTTACCTTCTGCGAGCAAGAGCAATGACCCAATGGGGGTAGCGGCCTTCCCTTTCCCTGGGAAGCAAGTCTCAACGGTGCCAGTCCAGAGTGAGAACCTGAACGGCTGGCAGGACTATTACTTTTTTGAACATATGAAGGAGCAGGAGCAACCATTCCAGAACGGAAACCAACAACAGTCTGTCGGGCCTCCGCAGCAGTATAATGGACAGCCTCTCAGGGAAGGTCGTTTCTTTGTGTGATGATTCAAAGAGGATTTATGACAAAAGGTAATTTCTCTATGTTCTTTGTGTAATGTATTTTTCTACTTTATATTGGTCAGAAAAAAACCCTTTTTACCATGAGTTTTTGTCTTGTTGAAATCATGCTATCAAGTAGTTGACTCATTTTAAGGTATTTTCTACCTGAATATCTCATCCACTATTTTTTTCCTGTACTGAGGCTGTCACTTATTTACTGCAGCCAATATCCATGGCGGGGGGCTATTATGTCAATTATCATTGTTGAGGAGTGGCCGATGTTATTAAGTTTTTAATGGAGCATCGTTGGTCTGGGAGTATTGCAGGCACCTGCTGTTGAATAGGTCGGTCTCGCTCTCTCTCTCTAGCAGTTCATCTCAAAACTTACGAGTGGCACATGATTTGTTCGAGGAGAACGAAAAGAACTATTTAGGCTGTTACTGCATCCCATTAATTTCTAATGGATCTCATATTTTGCAATCTTGTTTGCAGTTGTCAAATTAATTTGCTTGCATACTAGTTTAACAAGTCTAACTGTGTTTTCCATTGCCCTATGCAGCTTGTGCCGAGCTTTACCAGATTGGTTGGATGAAGCTAATGATTTCAATAGGTGAAAGTACGTGGAAACTTTATAAGCTCGATTGCGTATTTGCCTTGTCTGGTTTGCCAAGTGATTCTTGAGGGATATCGGATTGTGGCGGACAGTGATGCGTATCTGTAAGGAATTTGAAAACAAGTGTTAGAGAAAGAAAAGCCTTTTTATTACAACACCTCTTACGGCTGGTGGAGGTTTTTCGTCTGAAACCTTTGTGTAGTAGTGTCTGCCATGACAAAGATTCAAAAGCTATAATTTCTGTGATGCAACTCTTTGCAGTTGTATCTCAACAAGTTCGAGTGGAATTTGCTTGAGTCGTTTTTTTTTCAGTGTTAAAATAAGTATGCGATTATGGACGCAATTAGGTATTTCGACTTTTTCTTCGTTGATGTTTTCTTTTTGTTGTTGAATGTTTGAAATACTTTTGCGATGATGATGCTTTTATCGGTTAGGTTTTGGCATTGGTCTTCTTACGAAATCGAGTCTATGTAATGAGTTACTTCAACGACAAGTATAATAACATAATACACCGAGGTTTGTATCTAATATTTTCGTAAATGTTATATAGATTTCAAAGATATATATATAAGCCAAATCATCAATCAAGACATAATTTTTCAGCAATAAGGAGAAAAAAGAGTGGTATAACTTAGATCTTATTGAACTTGGCAAGAAGAAAAACGGTGGCAGAAGTAACGAGAGGGATGAAAGCTTTGTTCGGGATTAGATTAGGAACCAAACGTTGCTTGATGAACAAGGCAGTTGCAGGCACCCCATATAGGTAGAATAACATGTCTTTTGCACCAACATTTGTAACACCTGTATCAAGAATCACTTGTTGAAGGATCTTTTGAAATTCTTCTTTGGTTAGTGATTTTCCTTTGCCTTGGTGATGTTTCTGAACAAATAAATATAATAAATTGGAGACGAAAAAAATCTGCATCTTGATCGGTAAATAAGTACATATAGTTTCGGATTGATAGTTAGTTACTTTGTATGCATGCTCGAGTGTGCTGGTCTTTGGCACACGAAATTGAGTGCTACCAAGGGTTTTGTTAATGTCTCTGGAAAAAAAAACGAGTTACAACAAAAAGAAAATATGTTTCTAATTTCCATAAATAGCTATCTTTTTTTCGTACGTAAACTAAAAAATGAATTATGTAAAATATACTCGACGGTTTGGCAAACGGCATGGCAGAAGTCTGCTGAGTTCCAATCGTTAGTGTTTACGAAGTATCTATCATAGCATTCTTCGATTACAGGCCCGATTTCCATGCCCTTCTTCTCCTCTTTTGCTGCAAAATAAGAGTTCAAACATAAATAACACAATTTGTGATTAATTTCATGAGTTAATGTATGTATTTGTGCATGAACTATGCAAGTATGGAAGAAATGAAGTACCAAATTTATTGAGGGATTGGCCCATAATTAGAAAAACTTGGCAAAGATGAATTTAGAAGATTGAGGGTTGTTTCTTTTGTTTTCAAAGTTTTGGCTTTTGAGTCTATTTGTTGAGATTTGGAAGAGTATATTAAAATAGATAGTTTTAACACCAAACAAGGAATATATTTTCTTTTTTTTCTTTTGATGATAGGTTAAGAAAGGAATAACTATGGGACTGAAGAAAGTGAAAACTCGGTAGAAGTTTATCGTAAAATTATGCTGTCTAAAGGTTTTCCTTCGTCGCTCTTCGAAACTGGATCTCTTTCCTCCTTTTTCTTTTGCTTTATTCTTCTTTTACGTCTTTGTTTCTTCATTTTCGTTGTTCTGGTTTGCTTCGTTTGTATTGATTCAGGAGTTTTTGTTCCTTGCGTCTTTTCGTTCGTTTTTTGAAGAAAAATAACTGAAAGTTGAATTTTGAATTGTAAGTGACAACGAATAGGAAAAATAGAGAGAAAATGAGGAGATAGAGAAAAGAAAGAAGAAAGAGAAATAGAAAAAAAAATACAATAAGGACCTTATAGGGACTCATCTGGATGTTAAACTTCTGAAATGGGGCCTGATAATGTTTTCGGAAACTATATGGGCATGCATGGAAAATATTTTCTGACCAGTTGTGTAAATAGCGTAAATACAAAGGGCACAACTGCAAAATCAGAAATTATCACCTAATAGTCATTCTCCCTCTCTCAGGCCTCAGCCACCCGTACAAGAGCCTTTCTCTCTCCTCTCTCTCCTCTCTCTCTCTCTCTCTCACACAGACACACAGTTTGTTAGATAAGACATCTTAAATCCACGTGTTAACTGCATGCCGAGCAAAAATCGCCCTCCATTTTTCTTTTTCTTCTTCTGTTCATGATTTACCTGTGATTGAAACCGGCTCTCGAATTCCACTATCTAGAATATAATCAAGCCTCGAGAAATGGCGGCGGAGAAGAATAGGTATTCGTCGGAGTATTTCCTGGAAGACGGTGAATATGGCTGTGACAGTAGCTCGGAGGTGGCGGCGGGGGAAGGCGGCGGCATTGAAGAAGATGAAGAAGAAGACGATGATTACGAGACGATGGGTTCTGTTGATAATGAAGGTGTTGCTGGAGGCTCCCCTTCTTCCTTAACTTCACAGCAATGGCCTCAGAGTATCAGGTAAATCAGCCTTGATTATGGATTAGGGTTTTAATTTGGGGGTTTTTTACCCGGTGCATTTATATATGTATAACTTGTGTACATATATGTATATATACTTTTTTCCTGAGCTCCATACATATGCAAATCTCAAAAAAAAAAAATGCAAATTAGTAATATTGTCTCTATCTTACAGCTTCCTATAAGCATATAATTTCCTTGCAGAGAAACAACCGATATATATTCGATAGCTGCATCGCCAAACTTTGGGGGACTCCTACGAATATCCGGTGCTGGTTCGTTAATCGGTAGCCAGCATTTCTTGGAGGGTAATGTAAGAGCGCCCTTCCTTTCCGATTACAAGAAGGGGTACGTGGGCCATGACATCGAGAAAACTAGAGCACATTCCATATTCTCGAATAAATCTTCGTTCCTAAAGCCGCAGCCCACAGGAGAATATCCTATTACCTACGGGTGTAGCGTTGTTCAAACCGTATTTAATTGTGAGCTATATATAATAAGATCACGAAATTCAATTCTTCTACAGCTTCTTTTTTTGTTTTGTGTTTGTAATATTGGTGGTTATACTGTTATGGTGAAGGTATTAATGTTATGGCTGGTGTCGGGCTGCTTTCGACACCGTACACGGTTAAACAAGGTGGATGGGCTAGTCTGCTTATTCTTGTTCTGTTTGCATCTGTGTGCTGTTACACGGCAACTCTTATGAGACGTTGCTTCGAAAGCAGAGAAGGTATTTTGACGTTTCCCGATATGGGAGAAGCAGCTTTCGGTAAATGGGGACGTATTTTCATTTCAGTAAGTTGATACATATATACATATATACATATAACTTGTTTAAATTTTCTTGCGATTGGACAATCGTAGGCACACACTCTTCTTGTTAGAACAGAGTAGGAAAAAAAAGTTTGATGATGCTGGTTTGTGTTGTACTAAAAATTGATCTTGTTTTTAATGTTGCAGATAATATTGTACGCAGAATTATACGTAAGCATATAGTCTTTTTGCTCGATTCTTCGGCAGATTGGTTTGCCTTATATTTTACTCGTGTCCGTTTTTTTTAACCTGCGATCGATAATGCAGACATCTTGTGTGGAGTTCATCATCTTGGAAGGAGACAATCTTACCACAATATTTCCCGGAACATCGTTAAATATATTTGGCTACGAACTAGATTCCATGCATTTATTCGCAATTATCGCTGTTCTCGTCATTTTACCAACTGTCTTGCTGAAAGATCTTCGCTTGATTTCTTATCTTTCAGGTTCTTTACAGTACTCAGCTTCTCCTTCTTCGTCGTCACACTCTTATTTTACTGTAATATTTGAAGGTTTTTTTTTTGGCAGCTAGTGGAGTACTTGCAACAGTTATTGTAGTTATATGTTTACTTTTTATCGGCACCACAGAAGTTGGATATCATCAAAGTGGCAAACTCGTAAATTGGAGAGGTATTCCTTTTTCCATCGGTGTCTATGGGTACTGCTACTCGGGACACTCGGTTTTTCCCAATATTTACCAATCAATGGCTGATAAAACCAAATTCACTAAAGCACTACTTATATGGTACGGAAATTAAAATCCTTATTTCGTGCATTTTGTATATATATACACACACACACATACATACACACAATGAATCTTTGGAAATTTTGATTTTCCGTGCAGTTTCCTCATTTGTGTGGCGCTCTATGGTAGTGCTGCGACTATGGGATTTCTTATGTTCGGTGAAAGCACACAATCGCAAATTACTTTGAATTTACCTCCGCATACAATCGGTTCCAAAATTGCACTATGGACAACAGTGAGTACCAAATATCTACAGCAGAATATTGCATGAATACTCGATAATACACGATATTGATATTGATCGCTTTGCTCATGTATCTTTTTCAGGTTATCAACCCACTTAGCAAATATCCTTCTCGAGATTTACGTACTTTCTTCCTATAAGTATACTGTTAAAATGTTATAATTTTGCATTTGTTATATAGTAATTATTCTTTTTCCTTAGCTGAAAATTAAGTATGCGCTGTTAATGAATCCACTAGCCAGAAGCATGGAGGAGCTGCTGCCGACTAACTTGTCTAATAATTATTGGTGCTTTCTTTTTATTCGGACTGCTCTTGTAATATCTTCCCTCGTTGTCGCTTTTCTTCTTCCGTTTTTCGGTATGTGTTTCTTTCGACATAGATCATACATTAAATAATGCAATTAGACAAGATTTATTATTAAATGTTTTTTTTGCAGGAACTGTGATGTCTCTGATTGGTTCTCTCTTCAGTATTCTTATGGTAATCTCTGATTGGTTCTCAATTTTTATTTTCTTTTAATTCTCTTTGGTTTAAGTTTCTTGAATATTATGATGATATATAATATATATATATATATACACGTGGGATTTCCACGCAGGCTATAATACTACCGACTGCGTGTTTTTTGAGAATTTTGTGGAAGCACACCTCGTCGGTGCAGGTATACTACTTGAAAATTACACAACAGAAAAATGCTTTAATATTTGTTCGTCGTTAGCATACCGACGTATTCGTTATTTATTTGGATATTTGCAGATTGTGGTGTGCATTGGGATTATTGCATTGGGCAGTGTCAGCTTAGTTTTGGGAACTTGCAGTTCATTGTTAGAACTTGCAAAGAAATACTGATGATATGTTGTACTAATACTCTCATTTTTGGATAATTAATTGAATTAAATAGCTGCATTTGAATTATATTCTTGAATATTTTGGAGAGGGATGCTAGATTACCTGTTTATTATATTTTGATTTCATTTTGTATTTATTAAATCTGTAATTTATTTATTTACCTATTGTTAGGTCCGGTGGATGCAAAATCCAAAACACAAACGATTTTGTTTCGATGATCACCATGATCAGCATCTCGTGCTGATTACGTGTCGTAAAATGACTAATTTAATCTTTTTGGGTTTGATGAAAGTGGAAATACATAAAAACGTATATAACGAGAATAGGAAGACAGTAAAATCAACAATACAAGAGAGACAATTCGTAGAGAGATTTTATAAATTATTGCAATAATCTAATATTTTTTTGATTTTTTATCACTCAAATGTATATATGTATATATATAATTTGATTTTTGAATACTTTAATACTCAAATATATGGTATAAAATATATTTATTCGTATAGGGTCAATAAATTATTCTCTGAAAAATTATTTAATTTCAATTTTTTTTAATATTTGTTAACCCAAAATATTATCGTAATTCTGAAAAAATAATAAATTAAAAATTTGATTCGCCAATATTTATTTTGGATATATATAAAAGTAAAATAAAATAAAGAATAGTAAAAGTATATTATAAATTTAATTGAATGGAGTGAGAACAGCAAAATCGAAAAGGGTTTATTAGAAATAACCCCTTGTTCATATTTTCTAATGAGGTAGATCCAATTTTTTTCCCCCTTTTTGAGATAGACCCAATTTTGCCAACTTGACAAAATATATTATATAATTTTCCTTTAATACCCCTGTTTTATTTTTGAACGGCATTTATTTCCTTAACTACGTGATATGAGATTTGCTGATACGTGATTCTAAAATCACAGAATAAATTTACGTGAGATCATTGGCCGTTCTATCAAATCGTGTAGAATTTTTTTTTTGAAGATTTATCCAGCGTTCCATCGTTTTAATCGCCTTTGAAGATTTCTTCACCGTCAAGCGGGTATGAATGCGTCTTTTTTGGCTTTTATTTTCGCTGTATGTACAGGATTGTCGTGTACGGTGGTTAGACATTTTTAAGAGTTGTGTTCATACTTGATTCTATTAAGTAGAACGTTTTTTAACAAAATTACGTCGTCATATATACATCGTTATTTTTGGCGGATGATGTTTGTTTGGAAGAGGATTGACAGAGTTAGAAGAGGATGGTTCACGCAGATCGGACCAGAGTTGTTTTATATGAGCTTCGTAGTTGGTTTATGCAATAATCGGAATAATTGTCCGTTGTGGTCGAGTTCATGTTTTTGCACCCGATCGATAGTTGGTTTATTTGTTTATAACAGCCGATTTAAGTGTGTTGGGTAGTACATTAAAATATAGTTCGTAGTCTTTTTTAATTCAGTTTCCATATATATTATTATTTTTCCAATAGTCAATTAACTAAACCCATAGTCGAATTAGATACATGGAATAGTCTATTAAAATATATGGGATAGTCTATTAATTTTAAAACACCAATCCGCCGCCGTCACTTCTCAAATGTAGGGTTTTGATGATTTTTCGGCCCATAGTCGATTAACGAGATCCATAGTAAAATTATACCAGTGGGATAGTCTATTAAATGATATGGGATAGTCTATTAAAAAAATGCATAGTCCCAAAACATAAAAACCCGAAACCCCTAAAACCCTCCTCTCTTCTCGCGACAACTCTGCCTCAATCGGCGTTCAGTCCATCCCGATGACAATGTTAGCTATTCGGAGAATGTTTGGAATCTCGTCTCCCTACATCCGTCATTACTCCGCCAAGATCTCCCACGAAGCTCCGATCTCCTCCGGCAACCCTCCGATCCACCCTTCCGAGCCCGCCCCCAAAGTTCTCTTTTTATGTATTCATCCCCACCGCATTTCATCAGCTCATGTTTTGATTTGTTTATTCATTTTTATTTTGAATAAAAATTGAAATTAAAATTTTTAAATTTTTATTCTTGTTATTGGGTCTCAAGTGGGAAGCCCCACCGATGGGAAAACTCAAAATATCGATGGATTATTCAGCTAAGTTTATGGAGATTAAGGATAAATCAAATTCTACAAGTCAGGGCCGCATCGTAAAAAAAGCAATTCTTATGGGTGAGGGCGGTGGTGCCGTAATCAGAAACCACCTCGGGGAGGCGCTTCGTAAACAAGTTTGAAAAAACACATCGGGCAAAACCAATGAAGGAGAGCTAGAGGCCTTTTCGAATAGTTTGGTGTGGTGCTTAAAACGTTTCCCCAAAAAGGAAGACCGCAAGAATTTATTTTTAAAAA